TATTATTTTCAGAGCACTCTGCCCCACTATACATAATTGGGTGTATGTCTTTAAAAAAAAAAAGCAACCATATAATTGGTTTTGCCAGGCTATTTAAAACAGCCCTGTCCATTACTAGCCTGGGAAAGGTAAAGTCTGGTTGAAGAATTCTTATCAGCTGGAGACACATATATATAGTGAAATAGGTGTGGGGTTTTTCTTTGTTGAGGAATCTGCAGAGCAAGAAGCTAACATCATCCACATAAAATGACTAAAAAACACTTCTCACAGCCCAACTGTGAGATGGGTAAGTATTAGCATTGCTTATTATTTAGGCTGCAAGTGGAGATAAGGTTTCTGTTCTGTTGCGTAGTTTAGGTTTTTCCTGTAGCATTCATATACTCTCCAACATTTCTCAAAATAAAATAGGGACATCCTATTCTATTCTTATTCTATTTATACCCCACCCATCTGACTGGGTTGCCCCATCCACTCTGGGGAGCTTCCGACATATATAAAAACATAATAAAACATCAAAAAACCTTCCCTATACAGATGTATTCTAAAGGTTGTATCGTTACCTATCTCCGTGGCTCAGAGGGGGCTGGATAACTCCATACCCTCCAACATTTTTCCTAAGAAAATAGGGACATCTTAAGGAAAAGTGGGACATTCTGGGGTCAAATCAGAAAACTGGGACAGCTTCTGTAAATCCGGGACTGTCCCTGGAAAATAGGGACATTTGGAGGGTCTGCATTCAGATGGGTGCAATCCTGTGTCTACTTTCCCCATCAAGGTCAATGGGACTTACTACTTAGCAGACATGCATAGGGCTTGTGCTGTGACTCAGATAAGGCTTTGATGGTCCCCTTTCCTGCATTCTCTGGAAATGTGATTTGGATTGCATGTGCTGGTCTAATTTGTGGATGATGCAGTCTCCTTGTGGAGGGACTGGAAGTGATGGGCTTTTGGTTGTGCAAGGTAACCAAAGACAAAGGAGGAGGAGGTGCCCACAGAAGCTATTGTAGCAGATGCTGTTGCATGGTCAGCTACACAGCCTGAAACACCCTTTTATACACATAGCTGTTAAAGGTATAGGTACCTGAACCTGAAATAACACAACTTACTTTCTTCTCCCTCTTTCTTGTATTGTTTAGGTTGCTCCCCAGCTTTGAACAAATATTATTTTATTTGTATAGGCATTTAAGATGTCCCCCTCCCTCCATTTTTCCTTGTATGTGATTAATTGAAAAACTGCATTTACAAATCTGTTGCTGATTTTATTTAAAACAGCCCTATCCTTCTTTGTATCTTACCCATCCCTGCCAGAAAGTCCTCCTGGCCTTCTTATTCAAAGAATCTGCGATCCTGGACAGACAAAATAATAGCAGTCTACAAATATTTATCTAAAGTATTTCTTGACTGCCCTTCATTAAAAGAATCCTGTGAGTTTGCGAAAAGAAAAGCAGATCGATGACTTGCAGTGAGCAACTGTAACATGCATTTTGTCAGCAATGTGTCTTGGTGATCTGGTTCCTAGCTAGGGCATCGGCTGCTGGGACGTCCTTGAAAGAAAAAGTGCCCATAAAACATTTGTATAAGCACTAAGCAAGGACTGAAACTGCCCAATGGCTCTGGTGAGTCTTAATTTCCTCCCTTTAATCTTAGCCCCCAGGTGACTTTTAATGTCTAAGGTCAAGGGTTGCTTTTGTTATAAGAAAAAAACTGCTCCCCTGTCCCTTATGGGGTACCTAAGAGCCCGTGTAGAGTCCTTATGTAGGTTCCCTGTCAGTAGGAGAAAATAACAGAGGCCAGCCAGAGAATATTGAGAAGCAAAGCAGCTAGTAAGCCTGATCTTTATTAACTGTTGCAACAAGGTACTCACAACCACACACAGGAGGCAGGAGGGACCCCAAAGAATGGTGCGCAAGCCCTTATATAGACATTTGGAATTGCCCACCCTTGAGCCCAAGACCATCCCCCCATACATCATACATACATCAGAGAAGGGGCAGTCTACAACAGAATCCTGTCTGACACGAAACCTGTTGATGGGTTTACCTGGCTGTTAATGGGTTTACCTGGACAGCCTGGTTAGTCTTTTGTGATGATAAATACTTAATTCCTGCGTCCAGGTCACAGGCTCGCCCTATTCATATCTTATATGTGCCCTTAAGGCAGGATTTGTGAGCAAAGAGACAATGGGGAGGTTTTCCCCATTTCCTCCCTCCTTGCAGAGAAACATTTGATGTCAATTTGGGAAAGACAAAATGGTTTCAGGACCTTTCCCCCCTGTACTGTTTCAGACATGCGGTTTATATATTTATGTGTGTGTTTGCTTGGTACATTTATTTTATATCTTAGACCTTATAATTCTCATAACGCTTCTTCACCCCTGTTTCGGTTTTTACAAAATGCTGCAAAAGACAGAATATCCAGTTAAAAGAACCATGGTAAGTAGCGGGTGATGGGTAAGACCTTTGGGCTACGGCAGAACTGCTGGCAGTTAAGAGGAGACAATGCTGTTTGATTTGGTTTAAAGCAACTTAGAGCTGTTTCTCTTAGCTTTCTTCTTCTTCTAAGGACTCCAGCAATGTATGCATTGGTGGCTTAAAAGGCAGCAAGGCTGTTTTCTCCCCATTGTGTTTCAAGCTTAATCTGCATATTGCTGTACACACCTGATGTACATTGCCTAATTTGTTTCCCTCCACCTCCCCAACTCCTGGTCGTCTGCGCAAGCATGCACTGTCTTCTGCACATGCCCAACAGCTGCCTCAAATTTACACATCTCAGTTTAACTGTAATGTGAATGTGGCTTACGTTGTCCTCTTGGATGGAAGAGGAGTTAAGAGAAGAAATAGGACCAAATGGCACTATTTCTCAAGGAACTGCACTCTGCATTCAAACACCAGCGGTGGGAGCGTATGGGAGCCGGAGTAAATGGTAATGTGCTTGTAAATCAACAATAGCAAATACCTTGTATGTAGATCTTGATATGCTGATGAGCCGCCAAGTTTATAGATCAAATATTAATTGCTGGTGCTGGAAAGAAGCTAGCCCTGCGGTCCTGGGCATGTGGACCATAATTCAACATGAGCGAAGTATGCAAGCAGCACCTATCAACTAAGTAATTTCTATTGCTTTCAATGCAACTTACACTCCAACAAGTGAGTGTCAGAGCAATTGTGTCCTCCCTTTAGGGCTGGCCCAAGGAATAATAAAATCATAGAGATTTTATTTAGAAGACATCTGATTTTATTTAGAAGACATCTGAAGGCAGCCCTGTTTAGGTAAGCTTTTAAGGTTTAATAGGTTATTGTATTTTAATATTCTGTTGGAAGCCGCCCAGAGTGGCTGGGGAAACCCAGTCAGATGGGCAGGGTATTATATTATTATTATTATTATTATTATTATTATTATTATTATCTAGTCCAACACTCTGCAATGCAGGAATCTCAGCTCAAGCATCCATGATGGATGGTCATCCAACCTCTGCTTTAAAACTTCCAAAGAAGGAGAGTCCACAACCTCTAGAGGGAGACTGTTGTACTGTCAAGCAGCTTTTACTGTCAGAAAGTTTTTCCTGATGTTTAGTTGGACTCTTCTTTCTTGTAACTTGAAGCCATTGGTTAGGGTCCTAGTCTCCAGAGCAGAAGAAAACAAGCTTGTTCCCCCTTCTGTGTAACAGCCCTTGAGATATTTGAAGATGGCCATCATATCTCCTCTCTGTCTCTTCCTTTCCAGGCTAAACATACCCAGCTCCTTCAAGTGCTCCTCATAAGGCTTAGTTTCCAGACCCTTGATCATCTTGGTTGCCCTCCTCTGCACACGTCCCAGCTTGTCAACATCCTTCTTAAATTGTGGTGCCCAGCACTGGACACAGTGTGGTACTATTACTTCCCTTGATCTGGACACTATACTTCTGTTGATGCAGCCTGGAATAGCATTAGCTTTTTTAGCTGCTGCGTCACATGGCTGACTCATGTTCAGCTTGTAGTCCACCAAGACCCTGAGATCCTTTTTGCATGTACTGCTAGCATAAGATAGGTGTCCCCTATTTGTATTTGTGCATCTGGTTCTTCCTGCCTAAGTGCAGAACCTTACATTTGTCCCTACTGAAATTCATTTTGTTAGCTTGGGCCCAGTTCTCCAATCTGCTAAGGTTACTTTGAATTCTGATTCTGTCTTCTGCGGCATTAGCTACCCCTCTCAGTTTGGTGAGAGTCACAACCTTCATTGTATGCTCAGTACTGGAGGGGGGAAGGTAGAAAATTGCAAAGACAGACAGAAGAAAAGGCAGACAAACCTTCTGAGTCTCTTTGATCAGTGCCCATCAATCTGGGAGTATGGTAATAAGTAGCAGCTGCTGCTACACCTGCATGCATGCTGCGCACGTAGAGTCAAAGCAGCCAACATCTATGCACAAGATTGTTTTTTATTGTTTAGTTGTGTCTGACTCTTTGTGACCCCATGGACCAGAGCACGCCAGGCACTCCTGTCTTCCACAGCCTACCGCAGTTTGGTCAAACTCATGCTGGTAGCTTTGAGAACACTGTCCAACCATCTTGTCCTCTGTCGTCCCCTTCTCCTTGTGCCCTCAACCTTTCCCAACATCAGGGTCTTTTCCAGGGAGTCTTCTCTTCTCATGAGGTGGCCAAAGTATTGGAGCCTCAGCTTCAGGACCTGTCCTTCCAGTGAGCACTCAGGGCTGATTTCCTTCAGAATGGATAGGTTTGATCTTCTTGCAGTCCATGGGACTCTCAAGAGTCTCCTCCAGCACCATAATTCGAAAGCATCAATTCTTCGGCGACCAGCCTTCTTTATGGTCCAGCTCTCACTTCCATGCATCACTACTGGGAAAACCATAGTTTTAACTATACGGACCTTTGTTGGCAAGGGGATTTCTCTGCTTTTTAAGATGCTGTCTAGGTTTGTCATTGCTTTTCTCCTAAGAAGCAGGCATCTTTTAATTTCATGACTGCTGTCACCATCTGCAGTGATGAGGTATATATTTATATGTATATGTGTGTGTGTGTGTGTGTGTGTGTAAAAGTGTGTGTGTGTGTGTGTACACACACACACACACACACACACAAATAGTATTCTACTAAGTTTTACGGCAGTGTAAAAGGTTCCACAGCTGGCAAGTCACTGCATGTATTGCTTTTCAAGCATTTATGGCGACGTGCTGGAAGTTGTTGTTGTTTTTTTGTTACCTGTGGTAGCAGTGGTTGCACACAGCTGCCCGGCAAAACACAGAGAAAGATGTTGCCCAGGAGTACAGCAAGCTAAAATGGACACATGGTCCTGGCATCCCACAGAAAAGCTGCAAAGCTACAGGTTCCACCGGTCGTACTGACTATAAAACACACTCCACTCAGCCTTCTTTATGGTCCAGCTCTCACTTCCATACATCACCATTGGGAAAACCATAGCTTGAACTATATGGACCTTTGTAGGCTTTAGGTAAAGGTAAAGGGACTCCTGACCATTAGGTCCAGTCGTGACCGACTCTGGGGTTGCGGCGCTCATCTCGCTTTATTGGCCGAGGGAGCCGGCGTACAGCTTCCGGGTCATGTGGCCAGCATGACTAAGCTGCTTCTGGTGAACCAGAGCAGCGCACGGAAACGCCGTTTACCTTCCCGCTGGAGCGGTACCTATTTATCTACTTGAACTGGTGTGCTTTCGAACTGCTAGGTTGGCAGGAGCTGGGACCGAGCGACGGGAGCTCACCCCGTCGCAGGGATTCGAACCACCGACCTTCTGATCAGCAAGTCCTAGGCTCTGTGGTTTAACCCACAGCGCTTTACGCTCACCTTAATAACTCTCTTGTGTTAAGGCTGGTGTGTGAATCCCCCCCGTCTAGCTCTAATCTAAAGAGTGCAGGCGCCGCGCCGGGGCGGACTACTCTACATTTTCCTAGCTCTGCGCGCCGAGCTGCGCCTTCTCCCTCCGCTCCCGCCTCTCGGCCACACGGCGAGCCAATGAGAGAAGCCGGGGCCAGCGGAGGGCGGGGCCCAGGCTCTTGATGGAGCTGAGCCATGGAGCCAGGAGGCGGCTGGAGGCGGCTGCGCTGCCGGCGAAGGTAAGGGCTGGGGGCGGGCAAGTTGGGGCGCGGGGCGCCCTGGCATGCATGCAGTTGCTGAAAGGGGGGGGGCTCATTTCAGCAGCGGGGGGGGGGCGGGAAGGTGGGCGCCCTTGTCCGCCGAGGTTTGCACACGTGTCACCTTCTGCTGCGTCTTGCTATCCCAGGGGTCAAGCCGGTCGTGGGAATGAGACAAAGAGGGGAGGGAAAATAAGATTACTTAGCCTAATTGTCCAGCCCAAGGTTTGGAGGAGGCGCTGCTTTTATTATGGAAAAAAAAAAGAACCTCAGTTGAGCTTTTATTTTTATTTTTTTTCTCCCACCCCTGGGTGGATTTCTAAATAAATGCAAGCCACCAAACTTGCTTTAGAGGAAGACCCGGGACACTGGCCTTGTCTGAACGTGGTTTTCAATGGAAGAGGTTTAATTCTTGCCGAGTCTCCAACTTTCGCGTGTCTTTTGAAATGCTTTGCCCTCAGGAGCTGCCGTGCAATTCGGGGAAGCACTTGCTTGCTGCTGGCCTCCATTTGCTTCTGAAATCATTTGCACAACTCCCTCGCCCTTACTTCCAGAAAACTGTAGGTTTTGCATGAAACCCGGCATGGTTTTTTTTCCTGGTGGTTTGCTCTGAAAATAGGAGCTTTCCTGCTATCCAAACATCCTCAGGCGCCTGGTTTGGGGGGTGGAAGGTTGCTGATACGATTGCAAGGTTGCGTTTTCACGTGGGTCGTTATCTCAAGTGAAATCAGTGGAGGAAGGGAAAGCAAGAGAGAAGGGGAGCAACTCTTTCCAAACCAAACAGAGTTGCAAGTCAGCGTGACCGGAGGGCATGTTCCTTTCCAGTACTAAGTGGCGTGATCCTTTCCACCCCTTCCTCTCCTTCCGCCAGCAGAGATGGTATTCTTGAATAATGCACCAAGCCTTGCCTGGGAGTCCATCCCAGATTTTTATTCTGGTCTGGGAAAGCAGAAGAGGGCACTCTGGGAAAAGCAAAGAGATAGGGATGACTCTTGTTTAGCATGTGACACTTGCAACCCAGTCTAAAGCATGTTTACTTGGACTTTACAAGGCCAGGTGTTACCAGTGGGGTTTTATTTCCAGGTAAGTGCGTTTAGAATGGAAGCCTAAATCCTGTCTGCTGTTTCAACACTTCAAGCAACAAGGCTGTGCCTTATTTCTAGGCCTCCAGGTGTACAGGACTCTCACCCCACGTCTGAAATACAAGAGCAGTGTACTTCTGAATGCCACGTGCCAGGGAGAAACAGGCAAGAGTCATAATTTTCGTAGGTTGCCTGTGATTTCCCCAGGGGTGTTCTGTTGGGAACAGAATATTGGGCTAGATCAGGATTTCTCCAGCTTGGGTCTCCAGCTGTTTTTGGACTACAGTTCCCATCATCCCTGACCACTGGTGCTGCTGGCTAGGGTTGATGGGAATTGTAGTCCAACAACATCTGCAGACCCAAGTTTGGGAAACCCTGAGGAGCTAGATTAACCTTTGGTCTGGCGAAGAGGGAGCCTGTGTGTTGTGGAGCACAAATCTGCCCATTTCAGTGTTTTCTTTTCCATCTGGGCCTTGTTATGTTGCAGTCTGTGTGATGGAGATATATATATATATATATATATATATATATATGTAATATTTCATGAATAGGAACTAAAAACTAATCCCAGTGCATGTACTGTATTTCTCTTCTCCTGTTACCATCTTGTAAAATGTTTGTGTGAGGTTACTCAGATTTTCTAGCAAATACAGTGGTACCTCGGGTTACATACGCTTCAGGTTACAGACTCCGCTAACCCAGAAATAGTACCTCGGGTTAAGAACTTTGCTTCAGGATGAGAACAGAAATTGTGCTCCGGCGGCATGGCGGCAGCAGGAGGCCCCATTAGCTAAAGTGGTACCTCAAGTTAAGAACAGTTTCAGGTTAAGAACGGACCTCCAGAACGAATTAAGTTCTTAACCCGAGGTACCACTGTAACTCAAATGCCATCCTTACAGCAAGGATTGCATTATTGCATTGCCAATACAAAACAGAGAATTGTTTTTAAATAGTTACCACAGAGTTACCACAAACTTGGGTCTCCACCTGTTTTTGGACTACAAGTCCCATCATCCCTGACCGCTGGTCCTGGTAGCTACAGATGATGGGAGCTGTAGTCCAAAAACTGTTGGAGACCCAAGTTTGGGAGACTCTGTGGTAACTATTTAAAAACAATTCTCTGGGAAACACTGAGTTACTACAACAAAGACACAGGCCAGCCATTATTGTTGACACAAGTCAGTTAATATTGACACGGGTCAGTCATTTATTTTTAAAGCAAGGGGATTCGGTTGTTTCTGGCAATATAGTATAAATGAGTTGGCCAGACATATGTTGTCCTGAGGAATAATCATACACAGTCTAAAACTGGGTGAGTGAACAGGATGTGATTCAACAACAGCACCACTGCTGAGTTTGTTCTTAAACTCAAGACTTGCGGGTGAAGACTGGTAGATGTCAGGCTTCATGATGCACTGTGTGTCTTGTGACACAGACAGTGAAAAACTGCTTTTCACAAAAGCTTGCTTGGATAAAGGCCCTCTAGTTTAACAGCATTCATTTGTTTTCAATGCTGCTAACCACGTGTGGTTACTCCTCTTAAATACTTATTGGTCCAATGCAAAGAAGAGTCCAAATTAGCAGGAACTAAAAACAGTCTGTTGCATTTACAGCGGTACCTCAGGTTAAGTACTTAATTCGTTCTGGAGGTCCATTCTTAACCTGAAACTGTTCTTAGCCTGAAGCACCACTTTAGCTAATGGGGCCTGCTGTGCCGCCGCCGCATGATTTCTGTTCTCATCCTGAAGCAAAGTTCTTAACCCAAAGTACTATTTCTGAGTTAGTGGAGTCTGTAACCTGAAGCGTATCTAACCTGAAGTGTATGTAGCCCGAGGTACCACTGTACTTCGAGGCAAATAATTGGAAGGATGGCATAGGAAGGTTCAGATTTCAGGTCTGCATTAATCGCTGAACTGTTGCACCTTATACATATGTATTCTCTCATACTCGTTTAATAATGCTTAAGGTTGAAAGCCTGACTCAACTTACCTGGGAGTAAGCCCCATTAAATACAATGCAAAGTCCTTCTGAGTAGACATAGTTAGGCTTGCACTGTTACTTGAGCTGCGAAACTATATTTCTTCTCTCTTGCTGGGGGAAGCTGGAGTCAGTCCTAATTCCAAATCGATTGTAGTTTTGGATCAAAAAGTGGGGAGAAGCGGTTGAATTCAGATGGTGTGTTTTAGGCAACTGATCCTTGTTCAAACCGGCATAAGTGCCAGTGATTCTAACAGATATGGTTTTCCCTTCCCCTCCTTTATCTCTTCTCATCAGACTGCTTCCGTGGTTTGGCTTGAGAATATTCTGCCCTTTTCCTGGAAACTTGGGGAGGTGTATATTATGATACACAGAGATACAGATACACACACATACTTAACAGTTAATGCCAAAGTAGGCTTCCCAGTGGTTTACAAAACCAGTTACATAAACAATACAAAACCAGTTACATAAACATTTAAAATATAAGCAGCCATAATTAAAGTACACAATAAAAATCCCCATTAAAATAGCACAGCAATTAAAACAGGTGACTTGAGTGGAGTGATCAAGGGAGCAGCTGGGTAAATAGGCTAGCCCCTTCTATGCTCACAGCAGTCGTGTCACAGAGGTTGACCAAAGCCATTGCACTTTTTAGGTATTGTATATTACATGTGTGTGTCACATAGCACCATTCTCTTTAAAAAGCCACCTCTGGAAAGGGACTCGCCTCTGAACCCTGTCTGCAAGCACAAACTGCTTGCAAATGTATGCCAAAGTGGTGGCGGTCACACCTTACCTGCCCCATACCTGATGCCATATAAAATTTAGGGGGACAGCTGTGTGTGTCTTGGCAAAAATGCCTTTGTGGGTCACAGTAGGACCTCTTCTAGGCATCCGTGGGTCAGAGTCTCATTGCACCAGCTGCTTTTTGCTTTCCTGTTGTCATCATTGACTCAAATGAGTGTTTGTGCATAACCTATAATTAGCTTCTGGGGAAGAATGGCTTAGCCATGAAACTTCCTGGGTGGTCTTCGAGAAGTAGGCGGTTTGAACAGGTACCTGCAGTCTTGTCATCTGAGCCAGCCAAAGACATTCTGCTGTCTGAGGCAAAGGAAGATGACCTCCGCCGCCGCCCAGTTTGATGTATAAAAGCCGGCCAGTTGAAATATTAGTCGTTGAGCATCTCCTGTTACTCGGTCCAAGGGAACTAGTAAGGGCTTTGAAATGGTTTAATGCTTCCACCAGGGAAACTATAAAAGCATATACATGACCCACTGTTGGGTTGTATCCAGGGCTGTGCATAGTCTGAGTGGAACAGGCCTTTGCATGCAGAAATGAAACTTCACTTTCCTCCCCACTCTGCAGCTTAGCACGCACCCCCAAAATCTGCTCCAGGGGTCACCCAATCCAGCTTGTTGTTAAAGGGTTTGCCTGAGCTCCCCCAGCAGGAATACTGGATGTGAATCATTCTGAACTCTACGGTTGGGCTTATCCTCTCCTGTTCATTTCTTTCCATATTAGCAACCACCTCTCTCTCTGTGCTGTCAGGAAGCCCATTTTCTCCCTTTCTGCTCCGTACAAGGCCAGCTGCTGAAATAAGGCAAGGATTGGGCACTCAGTTGAATCCATGTGTGTCCTGTGTTTTGCGGTTCTTTTAAACAAGGTGAGCCTGAAGCGTATGTGAGATAGAGAAATCAACTTGAAATCAAGTTGCTGGAGAGAGCTGATCTCGCACTCAGCTGCTCCCCCCTATATATGCATGCTTGTTCTTCATTTTCAATTGTAGTGCGTACGTGAAATGGGCATCTGCAAGGGTGCCATAGCTCTGCAGCAGCTCACATGCCTTGCCTGCCCTTCAAGGATCTCCCATTAAAAGAATTTCACTAGCAGGGCTGCTAAAGACCTCAGTGGAGAGCCACTGCCTGTCATCTGAGAGTGCTAGGCTAGTTTGCCTCCACGTAAGGACGCGGGTGGCGCTGTGGTCTAAACCACTGAGCCTAGGACTTGCCGATCAGAAGGTCGGCGGTTCGAATCTCCGCGACGGGGTGAGCTCCCGTTGTTCAGTCCCAGCTCCTGCCAACCTAGCAGTTCTAAAGCACGTCAAAGTGCAAGTAGATAAATAGGTACCGCTCCTGCGGGAAGGTAAACGGTGTTTCCGTGAGCTGCTCCGGTTCGCCAGAAGCGGCTTAGTCATGCTGGCCACATGACCCGGAAGCTGTCTGCGGACAAACGTTGGCTCCCTTGGCCAATAAAGCGAGATGAGCGCCGCAACCCCAGAGTCGGTCACGACTGGACCTAATGGTCAGGGTCACTTTACCTTTTCCTTTAAGGTGACTTCACGTGTTGTGTGCATGTCCAGGTTTGTGACACTCAATGCAGCTGCGCATCCTTTGCATGCACGCAAAAGCAGCCTCTCGGACGTGTCCCTTTGCACACCTTGCTGCCGAAAGTCAGGTGTAGCAGATTTAAAAGATAGTAAACTTCCAGACACCTTTACTGCCCATAATTTTCCGCTTCTAGACTTGAACCCAGCTTTATAGAAAGATTATAGAAGAGCAGAGAGGCACTTGTGCCAGCAAAATGTGTGATATGGCACGTCGCAGAGAGGGTACTGCTTGCGCACGTGTCTTGCTAGGGCACAAGCCTGCAGTACTGAGCATTGTGTACAGTTCTTGTCCCACCTGTAAAAAAAAGGTGCGCACCACCCCTCTCGCTCTCCAGGCTTCAGCGAAAGCCTACATTCGCCCCATAGGACGCACACACATTTCCCCTTCATTTTTGGAGGGGGAAAAGTGCGTCCTATAGGGCGAAAAATACGGTAGGTGGTGTGGTAGAGGTGTCTCTATCCCATAACTTGGGGTTGTGCAGTGGAATTAATTGGCAGTAAGTTCAGGGCATGCGAAAGGAAGTCACTCTTACACACAACGTGCAGTTAATTTATGGAATTCAGTGTTGTGAGATGTGGAAATGTCTTCCGACTTCCAGGGCTTAAACGGGAGGATTGGCTCGTTCATGGAGGATGAGTCCATCGGTCATTATTAGCCGTAAAACAGAAGCGCCACTTCCAGTAGGGTTGCTTCTGCATTCTGAAATGGAGGTGCGATTTGAAATTACTGGGCATCTCTTGTTCCCTATAGCTAGGGGAATCCGTTTACCACAAGCCGAAAGCTTCAGCTATGCCTCTGGGTGAAATGCTTCAAGTAGTAGAGCGTGCTGTTTAATCAAGCCGAAGACCTTGATTGAATGAGGGCACATTTCTTTCCTGACTTGTTGAAATGCCCTGGCCCTGGCCTCCAGAGGAAGTGCTTTCCTCAGTCTATCTGCCCTTCTGAGAGTGTCCTGCTTTTGCATCCTTATTATCCGTTGGGAAGATTCTTTGGAAGAAATGTGGGAACCACAAGTCCAGTCTTTCCCAACCTGGTGCCCTTTGGACTTCAGTTACCACCAGCATCAGTCAGTTGGAGGAGGTTAAAGGTAAAGGGACCCCTGACCATTAGGTCCAGTCGTGGCCGACTCTGGGGTTGCAGCATTCATCTCGCTTTATTGGCCGAGGGAGCTGGTGTGCAGCTTTCAGGTCATGTGGCCAGCATGACTAAGCCGCTTCTGGCGAACCAGAGCAGCACACAGAAACGCCGTTTACCTTCCCGCCAGAGTGGTACCTATTTATTTACTTGCACTTTGTGCTTTTGAACTGCTAGGTGGGCAGGAGCTGGGATCGAGCAACGGGAGCTCACCCCATCGCGGGGATTCGAACCGCCGACCTGCTGATCGGCAAGTCCTAGGCTCTGTAGTTTAACCCACAGCGCCACCCGTGTAATTCAGAATGGGACAATTTTGGCAGGATGCTTCCCTCACACTCTTTGATGGAAGCATATCCGTGCAATGGCTTCAGCTAAATAAATATTATCTGTATTATATCGTGGAGGTGAACTTGATTGTTAAATATTTTAATTGTAATGGAAAACTCCACAAGCAGACTAGGATCCTATTTGCTTTTGCTCTCAAGCTGCTTGCTAATCCATAATTCTGTATAACAAGTTTTTTCATGTATTTTTCCTTGAAGTGAAAGCAATGCTAAAATTGACCTAGTTCTGACTCCTGCCACCCACATCTGCTTCTCAGCAATTAGTGCTCCTGATTCATATTTTTAAAAAATGAGCAGCCATTTAAGTATTCAAAATGATACTTGCCTTGGTTAGTTTCCCTTCTGACTTGCTTAGAGCTTCCTAGGACCGGATGACAAATTGAGTCCTTTAAGTATTCCTTTCTTCTGTGGCTGCCTTTCCTAGCCTTTTATCTCTTGTATTCCTTGTCCTTCCCTCTACTTGTTCCCTTTGTTGAGCATAACATATACAATGGTACCTCAGGTTATAGACGCTTCAGGTTACAGACTCTGCTAACCCAGAAATAGTACCTCGGGTTAAGAACTTTACTTCAGGATGAGAACAGAAATCGCTCGGCGGCAGCGGGAGGCCCCATTAGCTAAAGTGGTACCTCAGGTTAAGAACAGTTTCAGGTTAAGAACGGACCTCCAGAACGAATTAAATTCTTAACCCGAGGTACCACTGTATTAAAAAACTTCACGCATTTAGTCTGACCACTGAGATTTGAGCTTTCCTAGGGCAGAACTTCAAGGTTGTAGGAAGTGGTGTGGAATATTTGTATGTTAAGAAGCAGTTTTGAAAAATGTCGCAGTGATAGGACCAGCCAATAGAACCTGAAGCTGGGATGAGGAGCCTGTGGTCCTCCAGATCTTGGTGGTCTCCAACTCCTATCATTCTCAGCCAAGCATAGCCTGTAGTCAGGGATGTTGGGCAATGCATTCTGGCAACATCTGGAGGGCCAAAGATTTCTAATCCCTGAAGGAGACAACTAGCATGTAAAAGGGATGATCTGGGCTCCCCATTAAACCCTCCTTATCTCAAGCCTGCACCCTTGTTAGACTGAGAGTAGAAAATGCCATATCAAAGTTCTGGCTCAAGCAACCTCCTTTGTAAGAGGCATGAGAGAGTTCAGTGTTTATTAGGAAGAAAGAGCTTGTTTGTTCTGGGGAAAGATTACAAGAACAAACTATTTCAGACACATCTTGGAAGAGCTGTCTCTGCTATATAGACTGAACTGCAATTGGACTTTGGTATCACTGAAAGCTGTCTGTTCCTGCAAGGTGGGAACAAGGGGGAATGTGGAACTGCAGACAGAAACTCAGGAACTTTGTATGTTCACCTTAAGGCTTGTTGTTTTCTTGCATTTATATCCCACCTTTTTCTCCAAGGAGCTTAAGGTGACATACATGGTTCTGCTCATTTATTCCCAAACAACAACCGTGTGAGGTAGGATAGGCTGAAAGGCAGTGAGTGGCCCGTGGTCACCCAGCAAGCTTCATGGCCAAGTGAAGATTTGAACACAGGCCTTCTAGGTCCTCGTTTGACACGCTTAACCTTTTCCCCACACTGGCAAAGAGACACTCTTCTGCCAGTTTTGGCAGAACCAAACTTCCCTACCCTGAGGAAAAATGCTAATTACAGTGGACTCTCTGGTTGTGAATTTAATTCATTTCAGAGGTCCATGTGCACCCTGAAAAATCCATAACCAGAGGTGTCGCTTCTGCGCATGGCACACTAGAGCGCTTCTGCGCCTGCGCGAGCAGCGAAACCTGGAAGAATACGCTTCTGGGTTTGCCGCTTTTGCAGCCCGAAGATTACATATCCAGAGTGGTACGTAACCCTAGAGTCCACTGTAATGTTAATCACCCTTTGCTTGCAGCCACTTTCTCCTCTTTTTTGTGTCTCCTTCTAGTGGGCACCTGTCAGTCAAGTTCGAGAAATGGCACTTCTCAATGTAGTATCGAAATGTAGTATTGTAGTATTGAATGTAGTATTGAAATAAAAATACTCCACAGGTTGAAAAGTGGAGTTGAAAAGTGTAAATTCTAGCAACACTAGCCTTTTGGTTGGAGTTGCTTGGTAGATCGTTTGTTTAATTTGTTAGTTGCTTTATCTTGCCCAGGGCAGCCCAAAGCGACTTACATCCAAAGAAACAAACAAACAGACAGACAGACAGACAGACAGACAGATAGAAAACCCTACGTAGATACATTAAAACCAAGAGGAAAAATAAATGCATGGAAAACATCCCAAATGCATCAAACAAAAAATGATCCCTGTTTCCAAACGAATCAAGCGAGTCAAGACACTAACTATAAAATAAGGAAAATGTTCCTTGAGGAATTACCTGCTCTTCATAGTCACACCTGCCTTCTGGTTGTATTGTTTTATGAGTGGATGAGGTCTGTCGTATTGACAGGTCCATCCACGTGACGCAGAATTGGGCTCTTACATCCTTTACAGCACTGGTTGGTAGTGACTACCTGTGATCGATGGGGCTGTGAATAAAGACCTGGGGTTGAGAAGTGCCTGGAGTGGGATAGAAATTTACAAGGCATTTGGGTCGGACTCACTGGTGGTCTAGGAAACCCTGCTTTATTGTCTCTTCAACATGGATTTACTGAGCTAGATGATGCTTTGGCGTGTCCACAAGCTGATTCGCTGGGAGTGCAGCATTTTATTATTATTTTTTATTGAGTTTATATACCGCCCTATAACCGGAGGTCTCAGGGCAGTTCACAGAAAAGATCACAACGTATATAATCAGAATGAAAACAACAACTGAATAACAGAAAAGAGCCCAATTTTAAAAGGGTATAGGATGTTGATTAGGTCAGGCAAAGGCCTGGTTAAAGATGAACGCTTTTGCCTGGCGCCTAAAGGTGTGTAATGAAGGCGCCAGGTAAACTTCCCTGGGGAGAGCATTCCACAGACGGGGAGCCACTGCAGAGAAGGCCCTGTTCTCGTGGTGCCACCCTTTGCACATCTTGAGGAGACACGAAAAGGAAGGCCTCAGAATATGATCTCAGGGTCTGGGTAGGTTCATATAGAAAGAGGTGGTCCTTGAGGTATTGTGGTCCTGAGCTGTTTAAGGTCCATGCATCTTGAATGCAGCAACACCATGTCTTTTTTAGACCTCAACCATCTCGTCAATTCACCCACATCCTCCACTGTAAAGGCTGTGCTCAAAAGGACATGAACCACACTTTGGCTGTGTGGTTCCATGTGTGCTCCACTTCTCCACCATCTTTCCTTCCATCATCACAGATCGATGTGTTCTCCTACATTTGCATCTCCAGCCCCATCTTCTGTGGAAAAGGTGAAAAGAACAGACTCGGACTGTTGCAGAGTCTCATTAAACTTCGGGCACCCCATGCAGCCATGTCCTAATGATTTTTATTTCTTTGTGCTCTCTCCTAGTGAATGTGACCTCTTCTAAAGAGCCTGGCTCTACAGAGAAAGTTTCCACCATGACACCGGGGAAGGAGCGGGAAGCATTATATGGTAAATTTGCTATTTCGTACGTCGTCGTTTTAAGGAACTTGATGAAACTTTTCAGACTCAACGGACAGAAAATCTAAAAAAAAAATTCCTGTCTTTAATTGAATGTCTCCTGTTTTCTCTGTCTTACGTACCAGTGCGAGATGTTAATTCGGGACAGTGTTTGGGTTTTTAAGAAATCATCATTATTAAATTTCTATACAGTGGTACCTCGGGTTAAGTACTTAATTCATTCCGGAGGTCCAGTCTTAACCTGAAACTGTTAAATTTCTATACTGTCCTTCATCTGAGGATCACAGGGAAGTTTACAATATAAAAACACAAAAAGACATACCTTAGTAATAAAAAATCACACACACACACACACACCCTGGCAGTTTAAAAGGCGGCAGATAAGATGTTGATTAGGTCAGCCAAAGGCCTGGGAGAGGAGGAATGTTTTTGCCTGGTGCTTAAAGATATGCAATGAAGGGGCCAAGCGAGCCTCCAATAGGGAGAGCTTCCCACAAGCTGGGAGCTACCGCAGAAAAAGCCACTTCTCATGTTGCCACCCTCTGGACCTCTCGTGGAGGAGGCACATGAAGAAGGGCCTCAGGTAATGATTGCAGGGTCCGGTTCAATTCATATGTTTTCCTTGAAATGAAGGTCTGTGAAGACTGTGATGTCTTTAAGGTATATTATTTTATTTACACATATATACAACCTGTGCATGTAGGATGGAGAGGCTCACAGCAGATCTTCCTCCAGCAGATCTTCCTCCTTCATTAGGTTTCCAGCACAGAGCAAACAGGTGTCTGTCTTTGCCTCTTCTAGCATTCAGCTTTTCAACCCACCCACCAACTCTGGCTTTTGTTCTTCTACCTACCAGCCAAGCGGTGGTGAGGGCAAATGCCCACCAATTTGCTTCTATAGCAACTTCTTCGGATTTGTAAATCGCGTACTTAACTAGTCAGCCAAAGCTAGACAAAGGAACTGGTTTGGCAAGCTTGATCTTATTTTTTTATTAAAATTGTTATGTACCGCTGCATCATAAAAATATACCACGGTGGTGATAGTCATTCTCTTATACGTTCCACTCCACACATGCAGAAACAGATGTTTTGGAAAGGGGCACAGTGTGTGGGGCCGAGTCTTCCCTCCCAACCTCATAACAATGCAATAGTGGATAACCAACCCTGATCTGGAAGGTCCCATTTTCTTTGCCCCCATCCCTGCTTTTAGGACTGGATAAGAAATGGGAGCAAGCCCCTGCGACTGAAGATCATTTGTCCAAGAGAACTGTAAGCAAACTGTGGAACTGGGAGACACATTCTAGGAAATCCTTTAACTGCCGGCTTGTTAAATCCACCCAGCAGTGTTGCACAAGATAATTTTTACGGGCTCTGTATTCATGTTATCACCACCTCCCAGTCATTGTAATGGACGCTTTTTAGTTTGTCTTGAATTACGCCTATGGGCTTGTGCAGCTAGAAAACACTGCTATATAGGTCTATGTTCTCAAGGCCCTTTAAGAGGTTGGTTTTGTCTGAATTTCAGTGGTGTTGGGGAAGGTCAACTCAGATGGACCTCTGAGATGACTTTTATCTTTTGTAAACGTAGACCCTCCGTGCAGCTAACAACTTTGGCTTTAATGGGCTCCAGATCCCTGTGATCATGAAACCCAAAAAATACCTTCCAAAACCCTCTGTTGCCTCCAGGCCCTCTGAAAGAGAAATAATTCCACTGAGCCCCTTTCACCAGATGTGGACATAGCTTAGCACTCTGCTTCCTGAATAGCTTCAGTCTTGAGATCTTTTTCACAAATCTACATCACTTTCATAGGAACATAAGACAATGCATTTTTCCAAGTCAGACCAATTGTCTGTATATTATTATTATTATTAATAATAATTTCCAATTTATGACTCTCCCTTCACCCTAAGGTCCCAGGTCAGGTTGCAGCAATTAAAATGCAATGTTAAAAACAACATGCAGTTGCAAAAACCTTGGGTGGGAGGTGTCCTAAAAATGCACATATTAGGTGTCAAAAGCTAGGATAAAAAATTGTCATCAGCATGAAGATTGAATGGATTGAAACTGGAACATTCGGCTCGCAAAGTGAGCATTTTGCTTCTGAGCTACGGCTCTTCCATGAATAGTTCCAGCCACTGCCTTCTAGGCAAGAAAATTTCATGCAGTACTGTAATTCGTGGGCCCTTTCTCTTTGGAAGTTATTTATAGATTGCCCGTTAATGCTTTTTTTTAATTCTAACAGTCTTGGTGGATTTGCCAAGTTGAAAGCATATGTGTTTGTTAGTCTGATTATTATTATTATTATTATTATTATTTCATTTCATTTCTATACCGCTTTATATTTTTAAGAAAAATCTCAAAGCGGTTTACATCATATTAAAACAATACAACAATCCAAAATCAAACATTTCTAAAAAAGTCAAATATAAAATATACAGTCAAAGCAACATAGTTAACAGGAAACTAAAATATTATCTTAAAGATTTCAAAATAAAACATTACAAAGGAGATCTACTACAAAATACATATTCAACACAAACAAAGTTAACAAAAAAAACCTTAAACATTTCAAAAGAAAACATTACAAAGTCAAGTCAAATATAAAATGCACATATAAAACATATAAACATACAACATTTTGCATACATTGGTTTAGAGAGGTGACTGTTTAGCCTAAACTTACATCGCTTTCTTCCTGAGGTGAAAAATGTAATAAATATTTCAATTTTTAAAAAGGGCTGCGTCTTATCAGATGCCTGTTGGCACGGGTAGGGAAGGGAAGGGAAACTTCACTTTTCCATGCAAAGGCCAACACTGGTGTAACTGTTCTGCATGCGGCTCCTGACTTGCAGAGAGAATTCTGTAAAAGAAAGTTATACCCCAGAAACTTCAGCATTAACCTTTACTGGTATTCGCTTGATTTTGGTCACCACATCGAGCGTCTTCCTTTCCTGCTTTCCTGTCAGGCAGAAATGAGTCATGCGTGAATCGTGGATTGTGGGCCATCTCTACTGCTGCAGTCCTCTGTTTACATGCAGCGATCCCACAACTTGAGCTCGTTTTACTCACACCATCGCAACCTTGCGCGGGGTGGGGTGTGTGTGAAATAAGTAAATAAACTGAGAGCCGGGAAACCCGCCATTCTCTGCTCTCCTTTTAATTCTCAAAGCCCAGTAAGCGAAGGGACGGGCTTTGGGAAGGAGGTGTGATGGCTCTGGAACGCTGCCAGAGCCTTCTCATTGCTGTCCCAAAGGCAGTTAACAGAGCAGCGTCCCAGAGCCCTCGTGCCACCTTCCCAGGCACCACAGAGGCCCGTAAGAAGGGCACCTCTTCGCTTATAGGCACCTCTAGGAAGGTTACGGAGGACCCTGGGAAGCTCTCAGGGCCCCCTACAACCTTCCCAGGCCCTAGTAAGCAGCCTTCCACCTTGCAGAGGGTAGTTCTGGGAGTCCCTTCCTTTGCACAATTTTGCCTTTGTGCTCAGACCCCTTAGAACCGAACCCTCGCTTAAATGGCGGGTCCGCTATATATGGAAGCGAGCCCCGTGTAATGGAATAGGGTTTGTTGAGTAAATGTGCAAAGGTAAAGGTAAAGGGACCCCTGACTGTTAGGTCCAGTCGTGACCGACTTTGGGGTTGCAGTGCTCATCTCGATTTACTGGCCAAGGGAGCCGGCGTACAGCTTCCGGGTCATGTGGCCAGCATGACTAAGCCGCTTCTGGCGAACCAGAGCAGCGCACAGAAACGCCATTTACCTTCCCGCTGGAGCAGTACCTATTTATCTACTTGCACTTGACGTGCTTTCGAACTGCTAGGTTGGCAGGAGCAGGGACCGAGCAACGGGAGCACATCCCGTCGTGGGGATTCAAACCGCCGACCTTCTGATCGGCAGGTCCTAAGATCTGTGGTTTAACCCACAGCGCCACCCATGCATAGGAGTTTACTGTAAAGGTAGAATTTGCCAGTAATGGGGGAATTGCTCCAACTATCCACAAGTTATTTTCTTTTCGGGCTGGGCATGCAGCTTTTCTAAAAGAAAACACTCGTGTCCATCTGAGCTGAAACCGACTCAGTTAACCCATTACTTTTAGCTTCTGGGTGGATAACTGAATTTTCTAAGAGCCGATTTTCTGATGGGATTTAAGGAATGCAACGTAACTGTTTATACATAACACAGGTTCCCGTTCCCTGGCGTAGAGGAAATTGAGTAGTTCATGAACAATCCTCTCATTCTCTGTCTTCTTAAAACCATGATATAAATGATGACCAAATGCCAGTTACAGTTCTGAATGCTCCAGTTAAAATGTTGCTCAGTGGTATGCATAGGTAAGGACGATTCTTGTCCAGTATTCTGGAAATAATGACTCGCATGTTTTGTGCTGTTAAATATGTTGATTTTACTAGATGTGGTCACAACTATAAAAATCAACATATTTTAAATGTGTGTAATTCAGTTGCACTTCACTACTGAATAGCAAATTGGTCTCTTGTTCAGCACTTTTATCAGTCTGCGGAAGTAGGCTTTTAAACAATATTTCCTCAGGAGAGAAGAGCCAAGAAAACACAAGGTGACTTTCCTCCACGGAGTGGTTTTTCAGAACTCTTGAAATACTCAGCTCCTAAGGAACAATCCTTGATTTTTGCACGCAGTCTTTTAGGCTTTTTCAGACCTGAAGAAGGAAATCAAATCTCCCCAGGTCTTTGCCGTTTTACATAACTCTCTGAAACCACCAACGGAAAATATATCTATATGCTTTTCATGTTCTTTGTTAGGTGTGGTATTTGGAAATCCTGCAGTAATGTCTAATTTTTCTTCTCTTTAAACAGCCTAGTCTTGAAAATGTCCAAACTAGCAATGGAACATTAGCTGAGTAATGATTAGATCAGCTGAATCACTGCTTGAATTTCAAAGGACCAGAGAGGGATAATCTGATCATGGTTGACCATCATGGCAACTGTTTTTAGGAGGATTTGGGTGGGGATGATTTGGCTAAAACTGGAGAATTCTGCATGCGGACTGTGGATTTCCCTAAAGGCTTCTCTACCTTCTTCCCCATGTGTTGCTAAAAGGCTACCTTAAGAGTTCTAGTAGCTTACCTGTTGATAGCATCATACTCCAACTCCTTGCCATTGCAGAAAGCCTCCTGCATTGACCAGAGGTTGAACTAGATGGCCTGTCCAGTTATCTTCCATATCTGTGATGCTATGGGCAGATCAGAAACTAAAAAAATAATATGCCACTTTGATGGCGTCTGATTTTGACACGACGGTGGTGTTATTTTCTAGGAGTGTGGAGTTTTGACACCATTTTTGTCATGGCCAAATATTTGGATAAACAGTGAAACCTGTGGGTTAAATGACAGCTTTCTGCTCTCAAAAGAACAAAGCAGAAAATTCACTATCATCTAGTGCAGGGGTCTGCAACCTTTAAGACAAAAAGAGCCACTTGGACCCGTTTCCAAAGAAAAAAAAACTGGGAGCCGTAACACTCGTCATTATAAAAATAACTTTTTTGTCACTTTTTTTATTATTTCTTTGTTTGACCCCTCAGAATTACTCCTCCTCATAGAAATAAACGTTAAATTAACAAGTTACCTTTTTGTGTGTGTGTGTTCTTCACTCCCCTTCAAAACAGTGACCAGCGTACATGCCCCCCTTTCAATGCAGTGACCAGCGTACATGCCCCTTACAATGTAGCGGGCGGGTGGGAAGGTGACGTTGGGACGGTGCATGACTAACGCATGCACCGCCCCCATGCGACGTCACAGCCAGTACAGCGCCCGCCACAGTGGGGAGTGTCGGGGCGCACAATGCGCCTCCTCCACTCACTAGTATCTGCCCCGGAGCCGCGGCAAAGGTGTAAAAGAGCCACATGCGGTTCCGGAGCTGCGGGTTGCAGACCCCTGATCTAGTGAAATCCCCAGGCACCAGGTTGATATTCCCCTTCCCACTCGAAAGCCCTGTGCAAGACTGAAGCAAGCAACCCTGTAAAGACCGAAATCATTTAGCATGCCCCTAAAAAAGAACTTCTCTCCTTTTGCTGACCTATATTTGCCAGGCAGCCTTACACACCTTTTCAAAGAGGACATTCCAGATTCTTTCTCTCTGCCAAGGCCTTGCGACAGCTTACGCTTTTTGTCAAGTGGCCAGTTTTTCAGTACGCAACTTCAAGGAAGTCGATAACAGGCTGCATCTGTGTGCTACATCTTGTTCCTTACACTTTCTCGTCTTTGTTTAACTAGCTAGGCAAGGTGAGTTTGGCTCATCTGGGGGTGGAATTCTTCCTGCAATGGTGGTTTTCATTACACAACTGTTGCTTTAAAGCCACCATGTCAACAGATCTGCTGAGCGGCATCGCCTCTTTAATTTGGGAGGCGGGGAAGGCAGAGGTGTAGGAGGAGAAACTGACTTAACAGCTGCAACAGAAAACCGTGTGCTATGTGCATCCTCCTGTTTCTCGACTATATATTGGTCTCTTCTACGCTTCCAAGGAGGCTGGTGTAAGTGGAGCTCAGCTTTCTTGGTCCCTGGAAGCAGAAGCAAAATGCCACGTGGGGAATACAAATTGGAGTATAAGAGTGAGTAGAACCGGAGCGTTGGGGCAAGTGGCAGGGGGTAGAATAACATTTCAGGACTTGATGTAAAACTTTTTCCAGTGTCTTGTAACATTTCCCTTTTGCAGAGAGTGGAGGGCTGCTTTGGGGAAAACCCTTGTTAGATGCCTTCCGTAGATCTGTGTCTACGTATCACTCTTTGATGCAATTCTTGTTTGCTGATGGGAGAGTCAGTTTAATCCACAACTTCCCTATGGTTGAAAAAAAAGAAGTTGTGCTTTGCACCTGAATTCTGTGCGTTACCCACATTTTTATCTGGAATAAAGCTGCAAGATGTGTTAAAGGGTGAACATTATTTTCAGCCCTTCTTGGACTGGACCCAAAGGGTCTGTCTAATCTAGCCTCCTGTGACCTCTCAAATGCCTTTGGAAACTCACAAGGCAAAAGCCATTCCATCAAGATAAGGAATACTTGAATACTTTATAGAAATTTGGTATGTGCAGAATGGAGCCTCTGCACTTCAGTCAATGAGCAGAACGAGCTTGGACTTCAAATGAAGGATATGTTTTTATGTCTAGAGCAAAAAAAAAAAAAGCATGTCAGTAATAACAGACTTTTGCTGGGATTTCTTGAGCGCCAAAGAATAGGATGCTTACAGTACATAGCATTAAAACCTGCCTACGGGCTTACACTGGGACGTGGGTGGCGTTGTGGGTAAAACCTCAGTGCCTAGGACTTGCCGATCGCATGGTCGGCGGTTCAAATCCCCGCGGCGGGGTGAGCTCCTGTCTTTCGGTCCCAGCTCCTGCCCACCTAGCAGTTCGAAAGCACCCCTAAGTGCAAGTAGATAAATAGGTACCACTTTATAGCGGGAAGGTAAACGGCGTTTCCGTGTGCTGCGCTGGTGCTGGCTCTCCAGAGCAGCTTCGTCACGCTGGCCACGTGACCCGGAAGTGTCTCCGGACAGCGCTGGCCCCCGGCCTCTTAAGTGAGATGGGCGCACAACCCTAGAGTCGGACACGACTGGCCCGTACGGGCAGGGGTACCTTTACGTTTACCTTTACGGGCTTACAATCTAAACAGACTGATAAGGAGAAGGAAGGAAGAGGGAAGATGATGGAGGAAGAGAGATGCTTTGCCAACTAGTAGTTATGTTGTTCTCGAAGCTACAAACATGAGCCTGACCAAACTGCGGGAGGCAGTGGAAGACAGGAGTGCCTGGCGTGCTCTGGTCCATGGGGTCATGAAGAGTCGGACACGACTAAATGACTAAACAGCAACAACAAGAAGTTATGTTGAAGGGAGAGAGCAAATGATCCTCTGGTTTGGAAAACAGGAGGAAATGGCTTCTCATTCTAGAAAGGTATTGGTAACAAGGGAAGGACTGGAATCGATCTGGCTGTAAGGAAGGAGCAGCTGGTCAGCCTCTTGGGCTCTGGGCTTGGCAGGACCTGCAAGTGCAGGTAGGGGAAGGCATGTCCCCGAGAAGGAAGGTACCTCTTCACCTCCATCGAAGGGCAGCCCTGTGGTCTCTGCTGGAAGCCAGTCATATATAGGCTGCACAGCTAAACTGGATCCCTGCCTGTTGACACCCACCCAACCCAACTGCAGGGACCCAACATGTTGAAACCATCAAAGTGTGTTCTGGGAAAGTGTTGCAGTAGGCCTGCAACTTACTTGGGGGTTACGTCCTGGAAATTGCACCTAAAACATAAATTCTGTAAAGTCAAGATCCATTGGGTTCAATGGCGGGTGGGATTGCTAAAGTCATATTTTCTGAAACCCCACCCTTTTCTGCCCCATTTTTAATTTTTCGCTATGTATGTAAATCTGAAGATGCATGAGTTAACTGTGTGCAAGTTGTTGGTACTATTCTTATTATTTGTATATGTTGTGTGTAGATTATTAGCCAACACTATAAATGCTCTCTTATCTTCTGCCTGTTCCTTTTGCCATTGACAGAATTGTTGAATTGTGTGAAGTGTGCTCTCTTGCATCCTTCCATTCTTAAATTTGTGGGGCTTAGCTTGTTTTCTTCTTCAGCAACAGCCGGCCACTAATGAGGAAGACATCATATCATGCGTTTTGAGGGAGATGCTTCTTAAAAGAACTTTTCTTGCAGTCAGGGTTTTAGAGTGATTGTACCAAATTTCATCTTTGTACCCCAGAAACAACCTTGCAGCTTTGAAACAGGAGAATAAGTTTCTTCTTGCAAATGCAGGGCACATACACAAACTAAATGCATGCAAAATATGGATAGCTTTAAGAGCGATTAACCATGGCTTCATTGTTGAGGGACAGATGACCTCATGCAGTTCCTAAAATTCTATGTAACCTGACTGGCGGACAGTGAGATCCTAAACATGACTACTCTGAATTCAGTGGGACTTGCTTCTGTAATCCCAGGTCAGTGGGCATCAGATTTTAACGTTAATTTTCTTTCCCCCTTTTAAGAAAATGGGCCTGTGATAATGAAGACAATGTCAGTGTGCATGAATTAAGTTTCTAATATGCAAAGCAATTTACCATGTTTGCTTTATCTCTGTCTACAGTCATTCTGTCTACTGTAAGGTAAAGGTAAAGGGACCCCTGACCATTAGGTCCAGTCGTGCGGCGCTCATCTCGCTTTACTGGCCAAGGGAGCTGGCGTACAGCATGTGGCCAGCATGAATAAGCCGCTTCTGGCGAGCCAGAGCAGCGCACGAAAACGCCATTTACCTTCCCGCCGGAGCAGTACCTATTTATCTACTTGCACTTTGATGTGCTTTCGAACTGCTAGGTTGGCAGGAGCAGGGACAGAGCAACGGGAGCTCACCCCATCGCGGGGATTCGAACCGCCAGCCTTCTGATCGGCAAGTCCTAGGCTCTGTGGTTTAACCCACAGCGCCACCCGCGTCCCTTCTGTCTATGTAGTCACTACTTTTGGACATGAGGGCTGAGAGGTCCAGCAAAATCAGGTCTCTAGAGGATAATCCTTTGACACCCCCCCCCCAATCTTCTAAGCCAGGCACAGAGAGAGTGCCATAGCATACAATCTTGTGTAAAACTGAGGTAGCCAATAAACTTTCCTCCAGGTGCTCTTGGACGACAAGCCTCTTCCCATCTCTGATGATTGCCCATGGTGCCTGGCACTGATGGAAACTGGTCCAGCAACATTTGACAGGCACCGTGTCTTTGACTTCACTTGACGTGAAGATTGGCATTGAATTTTTCTCCTTTAAGCTGCACTCTGCTTATCAAAATTTCCATTTGCAGAAGATTCCTCGGGGGACGGCGTGAGCACCATTTGCAACACCACACTACCATCTCACCTTTCCGACTCTACAGATGAATTTACCACCTACTTTGATCAGAAAATACCTGTACCTGAAGATGAAAAGGTAAGCAAGTGTGCTTGGCCACCTCTCCTTCAGGGGAAATAGAGGTGTGTGCAGGGCAGTATTCCCCAAATGCTGTGTTGGGGAACTACTATTACGCCACGGAAGAACTGCTTACACCGAGGGAGAAATAACCTACCTGAGCCCCAAGGGACAACCTGTGGAAGAGATTGACCACTGTGTCCCTGCCTTGACCAGGCTCCCTTCCAGGCAGCTTCTTCTGGGAAGGTGTAATTCTGCACAAGGTGCCATATGCAACAGAATTAATCCATTATCCTATGAGGCTGCATGAGTTGTTCCCCTGAGCTTCCTTCTTTCCAATTAAGGCCAACACTAAACTCATGCAGAGATAGGCGATTCTGGGTATATTTGTTCCTTTGTTTTGTTTGAGTTGGGTTGGGGTTGGTTAAATGTTTAGTTGGGGGTGGCAGTTATTTTAATTTGGGTATAACTTCTTCTCCCTCCTCCTCCTCTTCATTTCTGTTGATTTATTGGTTTTAGTCTGTATAAGATACAGTGGTACCTCGTGTTGCGTAACCTCCAGGTTACGGAATCTTCGGGTTACGGCCGAATCTGGGTTACGGCGCATGCTCAGAAAGGCGCCTCTGGTTACGAAGTTTTTGGGATACGGCCGGGCCTCCGGAACAGATCCCGTTCGTAACTAGAGGTACCACTGTATCCTGTTTTTTTAACGTTTGATGTTTGATTATGTTTATATATGCTGAAAGCCACCCAGAGTGGCTGAGGAAACCCAACCAGATGCGTGGGATACAAATAATAAAATTATCATCATCATCATCATATGATCTAAAGCTCTCTGTCTCCAATGTTTAATTTGAAAGGGAAGCATGTTTTTGCTGTTAGAAATACAAAGTTTCAGATATTCAACTAAAATGGCTTTCAGTGGGTTTTCTTCTGCTTAGGTTTTCTTTTTATTAAACAAATCCCAAGTTCCAGGCCATATGTTGGACGTGTAATACTATTTGAAGATGATTATAGTGAGAGATGAGCCTCTCTGTACCTTCCTATGACTTTCTAGGGAGCAGGAATGAAACAGTCATTTTCCTTGCTAACCTAGCCAGTGTAATGGTTGAGCGAAGAGGAACAATGGTGCTCTGTGGACAGCTACTGATGTTAACTTTTGAAATGTCACAGCAGCACAGACCTTTCCCTCCAGGCTGCGTGTGTTGGCAGTCCCTCGATAAGTAAAGCATGGACATATAAATTTAGCTTCTTGTGGATAACCTCTGCAGCTAATGATGACCACAAAGGCTTCCTAACCAAAGCAATGTTGAGGTTCAAAATAAGCATCTGCAACAAGGAGAAGCATTATCCAAAACCAGACCATAACATTTGGGAGTCAGATACCCTTGCTGTTCTGCTGCAGATCACCCAAAGATTGCTAAGTAGATCCAAACTTTGCTTGTCCCCATTCTTGTTCTAGGGCACACAGAACGTATGCAGGCCACTGCTCAGGCTTATTTGAGTTTGTGGCTGCCCCACATCAGCTAAGCCTTCCTAGAGTGCAGTCAACATTCCCTTGCAGTCTGAGGTTGGTAGTGTTGGATGGGAGCTGTCTTTCAGAGAAGCTTGCCTGCCTGCTATCACTGGTCTTCTGCTTGAGCAAGCCCTGATAAGCCTTAAGGAACCTTCCCAGAGCACAGTTCAAAGTAAATGCTCTAAATTTAGGCCGTTGTTAAGATAAACGTTTCTGGCGTGATGTAGACTTCGTGCGATGCTGTATCGTTGGGTGGGTTTGCTGCTTTTCTGTTCCTAGCGTGATGGTCCTTCTGGAATTAAAGCATCGGTTAAAAAAGAAAGAAAGCAACAACAAAGCAACTTTCTGTGTTGATTGATTGTGACGTTAATAATCATTCGGACAACTCCTTCCCTTCTGTGGAAAAACATCTCCCCACTCTTAACCCCCCTTTTTTTCCTTTTAAGCATCCATGGTTCAGTTTTCGAAAACTCTGGGCCTTCACTGGGCCAGGGTTTCTCATGAGCATAGCCTACTTGGATCCAGGCAATATAGAATCGGATCTGCAGTCTGGCGCCATTGCAGGCTTTAAGGTAAGTAGCCTCTTGCTCCTGAGTATTTAAAAGCCAAAGAAGAATGGAAACTTTTTACAAATTATCTAAAAAGACAACAAAATGAACTGGACTCCTTGGCAGGTTTTGAAAAAACATGCACAAATTTATTGGTGGTTAATATAGTAGATAGATAATATAAGGATCTATACAATTTTATAGTATGCAGAGAACAATATGTGTTGAGAAATCAGAGAGAGTAGCTGAGGGAAGTCTTGAGGGGGAGGGTTCGTTGGGGAGGAATGGAGGGAAATAATGAAGATGATATGTTTCGATATTTTTTATGTTGAAATTGTTAATAAAAATAAAATAAAATAAAAGCCATCCATAGAGTTTTGAGAGCTGAAAGAGAGCTTACTCCTACTCCATGTGCCAATATTAATTCTAGCCAGAAGATGTTTACCATAACCGTGTTCGAATAGGGGACTCCACAGCCTTCTTGGGGTGAACTTGTCTTTATTAAAATTCTTGAGTCCTCCTGACATGAAGATGAATTGCAGTGGGGCCAGGCTGGTCTGGCAAGAGCGCTCTTTCTTCCCAAACCACCCAGATGTGGATGTCGCCCCCATACCATAAATAGGCAAAGCTGCATCTCTGCCTGCCCTTTAAATCAGGGGGTTTTGTTTCTCTGTAAGAGCAGAAACCTGAAGGTCTACTGATAATGTAAGATCAAGTGGCGAAGCTATTGGTGACAAAGTAAGCTATTCTGGAACAACCTTAAAACTAATAATATATTCTTCTGCAGCTGAAAACTTAAGTTTTAAGCAACTCAGCTAGAGAGATGTTTTATTTAACTACTTTGCCCTTTAGCAGGTAAGAGAGGCTTAAGCTAAATTACTTACATTACCGGAGGAGGAATGTGTTGGTTTCCTCGTTCATAAAAAGCTAGATTGAAATCTAGTAGTATATTTTCCTGAAGACATTCCTGCCCTGTCCGGTTTCAACAGTCCTGCCAAATGGTACTCTCCAAGGAAGCTGGGGGTTGTAATTCTTAATAGATGGGTAAGAATATCCAACAGAGAAGTCTCTAGACTACAGTTCACATGCCAGTGGATGTGTCACGTAGCCTGGACATGTCTGGATATTCTGCTTCAGTTATTTCTTGATAAAACATGTGCAATTGAAAGCTGTGTTCTTCTCCATGCCCCGTTTCTGGTTGTGAGAGGGGTTTGAGGCTGTGTCCGTATTTAATTCATGAAGAATTGCAGACACACTTTAGGAAACAGAATCCTTAGGCTAGCTGGCTCCCAGAGTTCTCATATCTTGGCTGCTCTTGACCTTGCTGTGCTTTTGTGCCTTTCAGCTGCTCTGGGTTCTCTTGCTAGCCACGATCATTGGCTTGCTTTTGCAGCGTCTGGCAGCGAGGCTGGGCGTGGTAACCGGACTTCATCTGGCAGAAGTATGCAATCGGCAGTATCCCAAGGTGAGTGAATTGAGCCATTCATTTGGAAATTTATCTTGTGCTTTTGATGCGAGCAGAGGAATGCGCCTTGTTGTAGGATCAGATCTCCCTGTGTGTTAAAAGCAGCTAGACAGGATTGGAATATAGGTGATAACTGGTAACAAGGGGTTGAGCAGAGGCAGGATTGAACAGGCCTGGAAGATGGGGGCCAGGAATTGTGGAAAGTCCCAAGAGGCTCCTGAAGATGCCAGGCTGTTCTCAAAGTCGTAGGTCCGTAGCCAAAGAGTATAAGAGAACTTGATGCATACAAGGGACAGATGCAGATCCAGAAAGGCAAAAAGAAGCAGATGGGAGGAAGGCAGATGCGTTGTGCCAAAGAGCAACATGCAGTGGGATTAATGAGACCTAGAAGTGAAGTTGGAAAGACTACTCCAGCCTCCAGATCCTCTGGCTTTTGCACTATTTCTGCATATAAAGAAAGCACCGGCTGCACCCCCTTACCCTAAATAGGCAAAACTGCATCTCTGCCAGCCCTTTAAATCAGGGGTGCCCTGTCAGGGGAAATTGGGTGAATCTGAGTGTGCCCCTCTTTTAAGATCATCACCACCTCCGTTACCTGGAGGAGAATTTGCTGCTTGCCCCGACTTTCCCATACAGCTCTTACCTTGAACCCAGGGCTTACTTTCCTTTTTTTTTTTTTGAGTATCTGAATGTCTTCTGAATGTGTGCAGAGAGCACTTCTCTCAGCACAGAGTAAATTGAATGCATTTTGAATTGCGGGGCTTCCAGGCAGGCTTGCAACTTGGCCTCTTTCTTCCTCCTCTTTTCTGCTACACTCGTGCAATATTTGCTTTGTGTTGCCTCTCCATAATCACTTTAATTGCTGGTCTTTGAAGAAGCCAGTCTGCTTAAAAGCTTGGATTTAAACAAGCACATAGGAGTATTTTGTTCGCTCTGGAATTCGTTTGAGGCTTGTTTCGGCAAGACACAGTTGCCTAGGGATGTGGATCTCGCCTCCACCAGGATTAGCAAACCCTCCTTGTCTGCCCCCATCTTATTTCTGGTGACGTGTCTCTGGGTGGTCATGTCTGTGTTTATAGCTAACCCGGGACTAAGTTTCCTCTTGGGGTATTCAGAACTAGACACATCTATTTGCTTCCTCTCCCCCGGGGGCTGCATTGAAACATCCTCAGTAAATAGGAAGTTGGGTTTGAGTTGAGTCCCAGGCCAAGGCAGGCAATTCCAAGTAACTATTTTTCCTGAACTGAAGGAGGAAGAAGCTGCGTTCTGGGATTGAGGTGGTGTGGAAACTGCTCCAGCACAGCTTCTTCAAAACAGCCTCCAAAAACCATGTGGGAGGGGCCAGTTTCTGGGAGGGCCGATACAGTCAAAGAAAGAGCTGCAAATGTAGGCTTGTCCCGCCGGGCCTTGTACTTCTGCTGTTCTTCCCCTTGGTAGCATCAGGCAGGAAGCTAATGCAAGGAGGGACAATTTTGCAAACTAAAATGCTGAAAGTTTCCTTTCGCTGTTGTTTGTGGCTCTAATGGCCAGTGCCTTCCGAAAGCTCATTGTGGCTCTCTGCAGAAGGCTATTTTTTAAAAAAACTTAAAAGCACGTATCTTCACACTGAGCTTCCCTTGTAGCTGAAAGTTAGCTGTACAAATCTCGTTGGTGTCTGTTGGCTCAGGGCTTGCCAAATTCTAGTCAGTGTAATCCACGTAGGTGGTTGCCGGTCAGCAGATGCAGAATCCTTCCCTCATCAGAAGTGTTTGATTTCTAAAAAAAGACCGCAGCGGCTGTTATTTTTATTGCTCAGTGCCTGTGGTAACTGGGGATCTTCCGCCCCCTTTTAATCTGCTTCTGTCGCTGTGTTTGGTTTGATCCACAGGAATTAGACCCTAATACAGTGGCTTCCCTCTGGCCCATTGGCTCAGTTAGGTTCACCAGGCCTCACAATTTTGGCCGCAAGGCTGTTTTTTTGGCTCACCTGATGCCATGGCAAACGAGTGTATCTTCTGTCTAGGGCAGAACAAGACCAGTTTCCCCACCCACCTTGTGGCTGGAAGAACTTTCTGCCTGTGATTATGCTCCTCCCTTCCCCAAAGGGATCATGTCGAATTGCATTGAGCTCAGCAGCCATTTCTAATCAATTATTTTTTAATCATTCAGAGTTTCGATTGAGCTGCATCCATTGTTTACTTCTTCTTTTAAAACTCCGTGCTGTTGTGTTTCCACACAATTATATTGATGGAGGTGTTGTTTGCTAATTTTTCCGTGAGGCTTTATTGCCGTGAGCCGCTTTGAGCTCAATATTGTTTTAGGGAAGTGGCGTACAACTATTAAATCTAATACCTGATGCCACACACATGACAGGTAGATCTGTGGCTGCAAAACGACAGTTAGGAGCTTTGGTGGAAGCTGTGGTGCTCCTGTTGCTTAAACAGCCTTAACACTTGATAATATTAGGGCCTAATATTAGCTGTCAAATATAGATAACATTAGGGATGCGGGTGGCACTGTGGGTTAAACCACAGAGCCTTGGGCTTGCCGATCAGAAGGTCAGCGGTTCAAATCCCCGAGACAGGGTGAGCTCCCGTTGCTTGGTCCCTGCTCCTGCCAACCTAGCAGTTTGAAAGCCCATCAAAGTGCAAGTACATAAATAGGTACCGCTCCGGCGGGAAGGTAAATGGCGTTTCTGTGCGCTGCTCTGGTTCGCCAGAAGCGGCTTAGTCATGCTGGCCACATGACCCAGAAGCTGTCTGCAGACAAATGCTGGCTCCTTGGCCAGAGTCATCCGCCACTGGACCTAACGGTCAGCGGTACCTTTACCTTTTTATAAATAACATTATTAGCAAGCTTTCAAGCTTACCTGCTTCATGTGAATAAATACGTATTGCTGCCTCTCTGGGTTTTTTTGACCATCAGGTTTTGCTAGGTAGAAATGAAACGGAGGCCCAGGAAGGGTTCCTTTTCCTTCTCTCCACCCTATCAAGTAGTAGTGGGCAAATCTTTCTGGCGTGCACCTCAGTTGCTCAAGAAAGATTTGGGAAAAGAAGAGTTTTATTTTTTTATTTAACGACACCTTTCTGCCATCAACCCAATCGTATGGGTGGAGTATAAAAATAACAACAACAACAACAATAATAATAATTGTCATCGTCATGGAATTCAAGGTGAGATCTTTGTGGTTCCCAGTCAGTCTTCCATCCAGACAGATCCAGAGTTGTTTACTTTCTTTCATCAAGGTGGCGGATGCTCTGGGACAGAGCCCTGGGGCCAATGAGATTGATGGGCAAAAAGTAGTGTATTTGGAGAGAAAAGGGGTCAAGATTTGGTGAGAAAGAAAATCACTAATTGCTTGTGGAAATATGGTTGTTTGTGTACCATTAGAATATCTCATAGTAGGAAGGTTGTTCATATTAACAAACTAACAATGGAAGTTGTGTTTGTGTTTTTTAAAAAAATTCTGGGTGTGTATCCTTGTTTTCCCCATTTGCTTCTTTCACATTTTGTGTGTGTATAAAACCAAATTATTGATTGCTCCTTAGGTCCCTCGGATTATCTTGTGGTTGATGGTGGAGCTGGCCATTGTTGGCTCAGATATGCAAGAAGTCATCGGCTCAGCAATCGCCATTCACCTCCTGTCTGTTGGGATGTAAGTTGCCTTTTTGTCCTCTGCTTCTGGAGTGGTGTCACCAGTTGGTATTCTGAACGAGGGAAAACATGGCTTGTTTTCTTGCAGTGCCCTGTGTGTAAAGTGGAACTTCTGATGGCTGGTCGATATATGGAAAAATAATAAACATGGCACATCCCTGCTAGCACTGTCAAAATTTCAGAATGCAGTTGGGAAAGTCCAGATGCTTGAATGTACCTCCTTGTGAAAAAGAAACTCCCTTCATGTAGAAACCTAGTTGTTGGCACCCGCCTGTCTCGAGAGACAATGGAGTGCGCCTCTTAAGGGTGAAGTCAAACCACTGCATTAGCAGCACCTCCCTGGGGTGCAAGCTTGGGCTGTGTGTATGGAGGTCCTGGCTGCACAGACAACAAGACCCCCCTCTCGGTCTCACTGATGTGGTCCAAAGGAAAGCCGAGCAATATGTTTGGCACCAGCTTGGCTGCAGGATTACATCACTGAGAAACCAAGGCTAGAACCGTTCGTCCTAACTTCCTCGTTTTCCTTATTCGGGGATGGTGCAAATGGTTTGGGGATGTGTCTTTTTCTTGGATCCTGGAGAACATTCAAGCATAGGATTCCACAAATGCATTATTGAACCAGCCTAGTCCTTGGCCAGCTATGTCCACACAACATTTCTAAACCTTTGCAATTCAGCTCACTGATTTCTGCAGGAGAGAAGCTCTGACAATGCAAAATCATTCCTCCCATACGCTGTCTCCTCTTTGCTGCCACCAGCTCTCCCATAATGCAACCCCCTTACTTAGAATAAACCAGGGGTAGGGAATCTTTGGCCCTCCAGAAGTTGCTGGACTACAGCTCCCATCATCCCTAACCACTAGCCAACTTGGCCAGGGCTGATGGGAATGGGGATCCAACCAGTTCTTGATACCCCCAGGTTCCCCAACTCTGCTGCAAACCCTCATCCTCCTGCCTCACCACTGCTTTGCCCTCCTAATTTTATTTTAAACATTGAGTAAATAAATACACTGCAGATGTGGGCAGTTAGAATAATAATAATAATAATAATAATAATAATAATAATAATTTATTTATATCCCGCCCTCCCCAGCCGAAGCCGGGCTCAGAGCGGCTAACAACAATAAAACAGTAAACAGTGCAACACAACACTCTAAAATCATTTCATTATAAAAGTAGTTCAAATCAAATTGATGGCAACCATTGGGCCAGAGCTCCGCGAAGATTGCCAAAGGAGGGAGTCAGGCTGTGCCCTGTCCAAAGGCCTGGTGGAACAGCTCTGTCTTGCAGGCCCTGCGGAAAGATGTCAAGTCCCGCAGGACCCTAGTCTCTTGTGACAGAGCTTTCCACCAGATCGGTGCCACAGCCGAAAAAGCCCTGGCTCTACTTGAGGCCAGCCTAAGCTCTCTGTGGCCTGGGACCTGCAAGATGTTTTTGTTTGAAGACCATAGGTTCCTCTGTGGGGCATACCAGGAGAGGCGGTCCCGTAGGTACGAGGGTCCTAGGCTGTATAGGGCTTTAAAGGTTAAAACCAGCACCTTAAACCTGATCCTGTACTCCACCGGGAGCCAGTGCAGCTGGTATAGCACCGGGTGAATGTGATCTCGCAGCGAGGACCCCATAAGGAGTCTCGCCACAGCATTCTGCACCTGCTGGAGAAACGAGATCCGCTCAGGTTTTTTGGCAGAGCGTTTGAAAAATAAACAAGCCTTTATTTGCCAACAGTAACAGAGCAAAGCTGTACTCTGGCAAGCCTCTCGCAGCATCAGAATTGCTCAGCAAGGCCAGAAATTCCCCAGGCAAAGGAATTCAGTACCCCAGACTGGGAATTCCATTGCCAACGGAGCCCTTGTCTGCTGGGAAGCCTAGCACTGCACAGTCCCACATAAGGGGTATTTTGACACAATACCGTCTGTTACGAGACCATGTTTATAATCTATTACACATTTTATGTTAATGATTTCTAGTCCTTATGTGACAAATCGCCACCGGCAAACTGAAAAACAAATAAATCTCAAACCTTTCCCTTGTCGGAATGTTCAAACTTCTTGACATTATTTACCCTTTTTTCTGAGCCCTTTTCCTATACTGGTTGCCACCTCTCAAACAGAAAAATAGTCACAACTGTATACTGTGTTCTAAATGTCTTATTGTTGATATTCTTCCGTTGTTCTGGAAGACTTCCATCCTGAAGGGCAGGATGCAGCGGCTATAAATTAAATGGAACCGTGTGCCCCTTATTTTATACAATGGCATCTGAAGAAAGCACCAGAGCTCAGTGGGTAGAGCAAAGACTTTCCATGCCGACGGGCGCAGGTTCAGTTCCTGGGACTGGGAATGTCCCTTGCCTGAAACCCTGAGCAGCTGCTTCCAGCCAGTGTGGACAATACTGAGCTATAGGGACAAATTGGTCTGACTCTATATAAGGCAGGGCTACCACAACATTCTGATAGTTGCCGTATTTCTTCCAGTTCCTTTCTGCATACTTCTTAACACTGAATTTTCGTGTCATTGTTAAGAATTGCTAGGCAATATTTAATTGCTTTTTTAAAAACAATGGCTACTGTGGAGGGAAGATATGACCCTTGTTCGAAAGGCATGGCACTGTCATCCTGGCCCCACTCTCTTTCCCATCCTGAAAGGGCAGCTGGTTTTCTAAAATGCCCACAGGGTTCAGAGCTTAGCTGGGCATAGCCAGTTGTAGCAATCAGGCTGCTGTTAAGTTGCCCGTTTTTTTTCATCACTGGGAAAACGCAGCGTTTCACCCCATAAACTTTCAACAAACATGCTTAGCGTTCCTTGTGACTTTCTCTTATCTGATTCCCTCCCCTTCCACGGCTGAATGAGGCTTCCCAGGTTCTTTGCCTCTCAGTAGGCAAGTATTTTGTCCACCTTTCCCAACACTTTAAAAACAGACTGTGAACATAAAGGGGGATTGGCCCCACTTGGTTTTCAGCCGATGCACTTAGAACACCCTGAAACCTCCGTCGCCTGTTTTGTCTTCCCGCAGAATCCCTTTGTGGGGCGGAGTTCTCATCACAATTGCTGACACCTTTATGTTTCTCTTCCTGGACAAGTACGGTAAGCTCCTTTCTTATATAAGCGCTCCTCCTCCTGTCCTTAGTAATCTGACGAGTGGAGCAAGAGCACTTTCGCAATCAACTCTGAGTAGGCCCTGCTATTCATTGGGGCACGCTTGCGAAATCCTGGAAAAGGGCTTTTGCTTGCGACTTGCTTTGCAAACACAGACTCCACATTGGAGGCCCTGCTGGGAATGAGGATTGGAGCTCGTAGGGCTCTCCAGATTGTAGGTGAAGTCTCGCAATCCACTTTGCAAAAGCTGTGGATTCCAGCGGCATGATGTCTTGCATGGGAAACGGCTACTGATTCAAAATGATTAATTCCTTCTCATGTGGCTTTCCTTGTTCTATAGTAATCAACTTCCTGGTTTGGTATTGCCATTCGCTCTTCCCTGCCTCACCTTCCGCCAAAGAACCAGCCTTTGTACATGGCCTCTGATGCTCTGTGGGCTGGTGGGCTTTGTATCCCTGTGTACGCTTTTCATGGAAAGAAGGCCCATGGTAGACTTTCCTTTCGAGTAAATGTCATGGGATTGGGCTGGAAAGAGTTTCCATTTTGTGATGCAGGTGTGCACCTGTCACTCAGTATTATGGAATCCTTCTTGTCTGAGAGAGAAGCCGCAATGCTTTTGCTGAGTTCTCTTCCCACACCATCCCAAGTCTCTCTCTCTCTCTCTCTCTCTCTCTCTCTGTGTGTGTGTGTGTGTGTGTGTGTTGTGGGAAAAGTTCTGTACTTGGCTTATGAAAATTGCTGGTCTCTTCATTGCTGGAGATGCTGCAACACAGCTTTTCCTACCTGCCCTGCCCCCACCTCTTCAATTGCCTATTTTCCTTTTTCTTTTTTCAAACTTGTTAAATTTTGAAAGACTTAAGGGGAGCGTTTGCCCATGCTAGAATTGGAATTTGTTTCCGTTGCACCTCTGAAGCACAGGGGGGCACATATGGGTCTTTAGAAATGAAGCGCCAGCATGGTTCTCCTCTTCTTCCCCCACTGCCAGACCACTCGCTGGACCCTTTTGCTTCTTTAAAATGATTTGAAGACTGTCCACCCCACTCTCTCCTGAATTAGTTACCCGTTCGTGTGTGGGCATGCTTCAGTTGCAAACCGCTCTGTCCCTATAGTACGGCTGATCTTCTGTTCTAGCAAAAGAATATCGTTGTCCTGGGTGCTGGAAGAAGATTGAAAATATATCTTGACTGCTGATCTAGTTGCATCCTAACAGTTGTATTCAATGCACCACTTAAGTCGCTTGTTCCATCAGTGCAAGGATTTCTCTTTGCGCAATGGAAGGGCCTCACACTGTGCTGGACATTCAAGGCATGCATGCTATTTTGTTGAATGCCACCCCGGGAGAGCAACTTGTGCGGTGTGTAAATGCGCACGGCGCTGCTTGACCTGATGCCCAGTGTGATGAGGTGAGGCACTGAGGAAATGCTTTCACTATTCTGGACCGTATGAAAGGACTTTTGGCTCCCCAAGTATCTCTTAAAAAGTGCATGTGTGTCTTTTTCAGGCTTGAGGAAACTGGAAGCTTTTTTCGGGTTCCTGATTACTATTATGGCCCTTACATTTGGATATGAGGTAACATTCCTTTTTAATATGTTGGGGTTTTGCATTAGAGATTAAAAAGTGACTTTTCCCATTTAGGATGTAACAAAACATGTTGAACTAGATGATTCTATGTGACATCGTCTAGTGGTTTCACGTAAGTGTTGGTTACATAGTCTGACTGGCCGTAGAAGTAGTCTTCATATTGTTTGGGATGAGCTTGTGATTTCCCACAGGGGTGAAATTTGCAGCTTTGTGGTGGTGATACATTCACACCTTCCTTCATATTTATTTTTATTTTATCATGCTTATATCCCCTCCTTCCTCTCAATGGAAGCACAGGGTGGCTAACAATATAAAATCTTAGCAATAAAGTATTGTTAGAACTTCTCATCAGAGCCAGATATGAAAACAAAACAGCAGCTGTGCAGTCAGCAAAATCTGTTACACCCCAAGGGAACAGATGAATAGATCTAATGCGACCGTAGCTCTGTATCAACATGGCCATGTAAGAGTGGGCTGAAAAGAGAGATTTGCTGTCTTGGTCTTCCCCAACCCAGTGCACTCCATGTGTTTTGGACTACAACTCCAATCAGCCACAGCAAGCGTGGCCGTTGGTCAGGGTTAGTGGGAGTTGTGGTTCAGTAAATGTCTGTGGAAGGCTGCACTGTATGAGGAGGGGCAAATACCTCGCGAGGGCATTGCTGCATTGGTCTAAAAGTAGACATCTGTGTCTTGCCCAAGGCCGCTTGCGATTCCAGCTGTGCTAATGGCCATCCTCTATGTCCCTACAGTATTTTAGGGTGGGACCAGACCAGGGCCAGTTGCTGAAAGGGATGTTCATGCCCTACTGTGAAGGCTGTGGCATCCCTCAGCTAGAGCAAGCTGTTGGGATCGTGGGTGCTGTCATCATGCCACACAACATGTACTTGCATTCTGCGCTGGTCAAGGTAAGCTTGGGACATTGTTGTTTTTTGCCGATTTTCACTTCAGTCTTTCCCCTCACAATAGGGTTACCAGACGTTCTCGGGGACAGTCCCCGGATTTGCAAATCTGTCCCAGGACAAATTCTGTCCCCAGAATGTCCCCAGATTTGCAAATCTTTCCCTGGGAAACGTGGCAGTGGCAGCCTCAGCAGCCTGGAGCCAGCCTGGTAGCGCAGTTGGCTCTGGCTGGCTTCGGGAGCTGCTCTCTGCCGCCGCCACTGCCGAAGGGGAACCAGGGATGTCCGGCAGTGCCGATCTCCTGCCCCCTTCCCCCTTTGTTTTGACAGATCGGGGGAGGCTTGGGAGTCATGGGCAGGCGGGCGCTGCCCAGGAGGGGCGCAAGGCGCATGGTTTCTCTGCCAGGCAAGGGGCAAAGCCCTTCTTTTGTACCCTGTGAAATATAAATGTGCCGTTTTTTTAAAAAACTGGGCAACAGCCACCCACCCATGACTCCCGAGCCTCCCCCGATCAGTCAAACAAAGGAGGAAGGGGGCAGGAGATCGGGGGAGGCTCAGGAGTCACGGGCAGGTGGCACGCTGTTGCCCAGTTTTTCAAAAACTCTGCGCATTTAAGTTTCACAGGGTGCGCAAGAAGGGCTTTGCACCTTTATACAATATGCATGTGTGCTTGGGCCCAGGGTCTTTTGCCTCAACATCCCCACTACTGATTCTCTGTTGCTACTCAGCTTCAAAAAAAAAGTGTCCCCGGATTCATTGGGGGAAAAAACAAATAACCATACACTCACGAATGCCACACAACGAAGTCACACTTGTGAATCTTCGCACACTTGGCTTCTGAAGCGGCCGCCTGTTCTGTCACACAGTGGCACCACTGTTGCTTCCGTCTCGCACGCCTGTGTACACACGCTGGGAAATCAATCCTGTGGTGTAGTTAAAATGGCTGCCTTTGCTTTACCGCTCGCTGTGCTAAAATAATAATAATGCTGGGAAAGCGGAGAAGAGGCCAAAGATACTCTCACCACCCAGCAGTCAAATTGTACCTACCATTGATGCCTTCAAATCAGCCTCCTGTGAAAGGCATTCATCCATGCACCACAACAACCGTGCGGCTGTTGGGAAGAAGCCACAGCTTCTCTCATGGCACAGCCCCCTCTAGCTCAGCGGCCAGGAAGACAGCAGTTGCGACTTGTTACCATAACCCTAGTTAGAGGGACGTGGGTGGCGCTGTGGTCTAAACCACCAAGCCTCTTGGGCTTGTCGATCAGAAGGTCGGCGGTTCGAATCCCCGCGACGGGGTGAGCTCCCGTTGCTTTGTCCCAGCTCCTGCCAACCTAGCAGTTCGAAAGCACACCAGGGCAAGTAGATAAATAGGTACTGCTGTGGCGGGACAGTAAACGGCGTTTCTGTGTGCTCTGGTTTCCGTCATGGTGTTCCCTTGCGCCAGAAGCGGTTTAGTGATGCTGGCCACATGACCCAGAAAGCTGTCTGTGGACAAACGCCGGCTCCCTCGGCCTAAAAAGGGAGATGAGTGTTGCACCCTCATAGTCGCCTTTGTTTGGACTTAACCGTCCAGGGGTCCTTTACCTTTTACCTTTACCTTAACCCTAGTCTTGGTTGCCTGTTATGTTGGCAGGATACCACAGGGTTTGTTGCAGCCCGTGATAGGTTTCTAAAATCCAGTCACTCTCTTGAGAAGAGTGAACAGAGTTAACAGCCCTCTTTGGGATATTTTACAGCTTTATAACCTTTATAGTTTTCAGTGGTGTGTGTTTTCCCTTTAAATTCACGTTCCTGTATAAAATGTGTTGTGGTTCCCATCTTGAACTAAAAAAGGACCACATCAGTAGTTCATCTAGTCCAGCATCCTTGTTCTCATGGTAGCCAAGCAGATGCATATGGGCTGCATTAAGAAGTACCGTATTTTTCGCTCCATAGGGCGCACCGGACCATAGGGCGCACCTACTTTTTAGGGGGGGAAATCAAGAAAAAAAATACTATTTCCCCCCAGTCCCAAAGAGCAGCTTACAGGCTGCGCGCAACTTCTCCCTGCCGGAGGGGTTGCGCGCGGCCATGGCACAAGCCAAGACAGTGAGTGTAGAAGAGGAGACCCTTCTGTTCCTCCTTTGGCTTCCAGGCAGGTGCGTGGCTGAAGGGGCGCTGCGCAGTTCTCCCTCCCTGCAAAGGAGAGGCGCTGCGCAGAGAGGGAGAACTATGCAGCGCCCCTTCAAGCGAAGCTAGAGGAGGAACAGAAGGAGACCCTTCTGTTCCTTCTCCGGCTTTGCAGGACAGGCGCCTCGCTGCGAAGCTAGAGGCAGGTGCGTAGCTGAAGCCTTTGGAGCGCAGCGGGACTGCGCTGCGCCCAAGGCTCGGTCCTGGCTGAAGCCAGGAGGTCTTGCTCTCCGGCTCCTGAGGGAACCAAGCCCTCAGAGCGCAGCGCAAGGGCCGCTTCGCTCCATGGCGCTGCACACATTCCCCTGCAGTTCTGGAGGGACGTCCTATAGAGCGAAAAATACGGTACTTTCTTTTTCCACCTGCTCTGAATCTTCCAGGATTCAGCTTTCATAGATGAACCCAGGTTCTAGTATTTTGTTGGGTAGGCCAAGGTGGAAATTCCCATACATGAACCTTCTGTTCCGAAAGGCTGGGGTAGTCACAGGTGCATTATTGTACTGCGTGTATCTGTGAGACCCTAGTACACAGCCTAGCCCACCTAACTATTGACCTTCAAAAGATGGGTGAATATTCAGACTTCGCAGAGGATGCCACCTGTTGGCTTGGACATGGCCTTGAATAAACCTCTTCTTGCAGGCTGTGCTAACCTGTTCTCTTTCTGTCCAGTCTCGACAGGTGAATCGGGCCAACAAGAAGGAGGTCAGTGAGGCCAACAAATATTTCTTCATAGAATCCTGCATTGCCCTCTTCATCTCCTTCATTATAAACGTCTTTGTCGTTTCGGTCTTTGCCCAAGCCTTCTTCGGAAAGACAAACAAAGACTTGGTGAGTCCCTATTCTCTGTTTCTATTCTGGTACACTTTCTTCCATTTTAAGGCATTCCCAGAAGGGAACAGGATATATACCAGTAACTTGGCGTGACCCAAACTAAACCAATATTTGAAGCATTTATGTCGCACTCATCTGTCAAAAAGCATCCTTTGAGTGGATGTGAAGATCAGTAATAAGGCAGGCCCCGCCCTGAAAGAGGATCACACAAAAGCAAATGCGATTGGAGGGAAAAGAAGGGAGAAAGCCAAGCCCAGGCACTGATTCCTGGTTACAAAATACCTATAAGACCTGTTGGAAACAGTTCAAGGAGAGTTGCTTGGATCTCAAAAGAATCAATAGAGCGACCATACATATGGGACCAGCACTGGTGACTGTGCCTGGCGAATATTTAATATTCCTACCTTCATGGCTGTGATTCGTGGGTTGGTCACTTAATTCTATTCTGATTTTGAGCTGTGTTTTAATCAATTGTTTGATTTTGTGTTTTTAATGTATTATATATTTGGTGTTAGCCGTCCTGTGCCCGGCCTTGGCCAGGGAGGGCAGGGTATAAATATATTATTATTATTATTATTATTATTATTATTATTATTATTATTATTATATTACATCCCATTTCTCCTGCTGCATCCTGATGGAATCTCCAAGCATTTATATTTATATTTATTATATTATGTTATATTATATTACATTACATTACATTACATCATATCATATATCATATCATATATCATATCATATCATATCATATCCCAGCAATATGTTCCTTTCCTCATACTTGGATCGACTTTGTGAAAACGTAGTTTTTGAAACATGTCAAAATTTGTCTTTGCAGCAAGAAATGTGTGCAAATAAAACCTTTGCTCCACCTTCGTTGTTTCAATCAAATGGGACCCTGGATGTCGATATCTATAAAGGGGTGAGTAGGTCTTTGAACGGCCATATTCATTTTTCTTGAGGTAGCAAGGGAATATTGGGCTTGGCTCAGAACCATATTTGATCGTTTCAGCCCTTGCTCCCCCAAACAAAGTTGACTACATTTAAAATTCATGAAGAATCTTGCGTGTAGCCAAGGAAAGGTTGAATCTAATGTTATGCAAGCAGACTTCCACTGGTGCAATGGGACTTTCCCTCCTCCTCCCCCATGCCCCCTTCCCAGCACACATTTCAAATCTTCCAGAGACACGCCCTGGAGCAGATTTTCGGGGGTGCAGGAGGTCCCATTGGAATAGCAGAACACTCTAACATTTAGCTTGTACAGTGTCTACATTCTCTTTTATCTCCTTCTATTATCACTTTTAAAAAGAGCAGTGATAAGCACAGCTCTATAAGGATGCTGGCTAAAAGTCCAAATTTAAAAGGTAAAGGACCCTTGATCATTAGGTCCAGTCGCGGACGACTCTGGGGTTGCGGCGCTCATCTCGCTTTACTGGCCGAGGGAGCCGGCGTTTGTCCGCAGACAGCTTCCGGGTCATGTGGCCAGCATGACTAAGCCGCTTCTGGCGAAACCAGAGCAGCGCACGGAAACGCCTTTTACCTTCTCGCTGGAGTGGTACCTATTTATCTACTTGCACTTTGACGTGCTTTGGAACTGCTAGGTTGGCAGGAGCAGGGACCGAGCAACGGGCGCTCACCCCGTCATGGGGATTCGAACCACTGACCTTGCGATCAGGCTCAGTGGTTTAGACCACAGTGCCACCCGCATCAAATTAAAAACCACCACAGTCCAAATTAAAAACCATCATAACCTACCTCTGAAAAACACAAATATGCAGAGTCGTAAAATGTTCCGTTTTGAAGACAGTGAACAAATCTGCCTTAAAAAGGTAGGTTTAACAAGCTTCCGGAAGGATGTTAAAGAGGTGCTATCAAAGATCTTGGGGAACCTGGTGGAGTACATGCTGACACCCCCCCCCCCAAAAAAAAACCAACCCCACTTCAAACTGGAGACAATGCTTTATCAGGCATTAGGGCAACAATCCATATGTTGTCTGTAAAAAAAAACAAACAAACACCCTGCAAAAGTTTTGATTTCAATGTTTCAGCCATTGTTTTTCCTCTGGATTTAGCAGGGAAGGACAAAAGAGGAGATGCAAATATTAGACAAGTTTGGGTCTCCCCTTCATTGCTCTAGTGCAGGGGCCAGCAAACTTTTTCAGCAAGGGGCCGGCCCACTGTCCCTCAGACCTTGTGGGGGGCCAGACTGTATTCTGGAGGGGGGGAAATGAACGAGTTCCTTTGCCCCACAAATAACCCAGAGATGCATTTTAAATAAAAGGACACATTCTACTCATGTAAAAACACACTGATTCCCGGAATGTCTGCGGGCCAGATTTAGAAGACGATTGGGCCGGATCCGGCCCCCGGGCCTTTGTTTGCCTACCAATGGTCTAATGTTCTGCAAACAACCTCAGGGAGGTTTTTTTATTTCTGCTCCCATCCAAAGCAATAGTTGAAGCTCATTGCTCTTGGGAAAATGGAAAGTTGACAACGTAACTGTCATTTGGCACTGGTGTATTTATGAAAATTAATGTATGTGTGCAGTAGCCCTGACCTTCAAGTTCATGTTCTGTTTGAGTAACTTGGCCAACCTCATCTAAATAGCGGTTTTAATAAAATGGCCCCCTTGCATTAGATCGCTGCCTTGGCAGCTCTAAATTGTAAGTCTTTATTTGCCCTCCCCACTCAGAATTTTACTTTTACACATCACTGACAAGAATCCTTCTGTGTTCTAGGGTGTTGTTCTGGGTTGTTCTTTTGGCCCGGCTGCTCTCTACATCTGGGCTATCGGGATTCTCGCTGCAGGTCAGAGTTCGACAATGACGGGAACATACTCTGGACAATTTGTCATGGAGGTATTTCATCTCTCTTCGGCCACGTTGGCTTATGTTTGTCAACCAGGAACCTTTTTCCTTACTTGAGTGAGGATGAGATGATGGAGATGTCGCAACCTGGTCTGAACAGTTCAGTTACCTGTGGGTGTATGCTTTCTGGTGTATGCAAGCAATTCTGGTGTATGCAAGAAAAGCAGCGTGCAATAACTTAGGCTGCTGTGTAGCATCTTCAGAGCAGATGCTGGGACTAAGAAAACAAACAACAAAACTTGTCTTAATGGCATTTTTTAATACCTTTTTTTAAAAATCAGACTTTGCATGGCTTTCCATTTAAAGGTAAAGGGACCCCTGACCATTAGGTCCAGTCGTGGACGACTCTGGGGTTGCGGCGCTCATCTCGCTTTATTGGCCGAGGGAGCCGGTGTATAGCTTACATACAGATTCCGGGTCATACATACAGATTCCAGGTCATGTGGCCAACATGACTAAGCCACTTCTGGCAAACCAGAGCAGCGCATGGAAATGCCGTTTACCTTCCTGCCAAAGTGGTACCTATTTATCTACTTGCACTTTGACGTGCTTTCGAACTGTTAGGTTGGCAGGAGCTGGGACCGAGCAACGGAAGCTCACCCCGTTGCAGGGATTTGAACCACTGACCTTCTCGTCGGCAAGCCCAAGAGGGTCAGTTGTTTAACCCACAGTGCCACCCACGTCCCGTGGTTTTCCATTTATGATTATATAAATAAAAAGGATTATTTTTTTATTTAAAAAAATCATCATGGAGTGATGTTTATGAAAATGAAAGACACACAAAGGTAAACGATGATCAAGTGAGAGAATACTGGAAGGTTGCGAGCGTAGATTTGTGAAGGTTCTGAGCATTAAGCTGAAAACTAGCTAGTTAACCTGAGAATGTCTTCCTTGTACCCGTATCCCACCCTACAAACTGTTGTTTGATGACATTTGAGCTCTGCTGGCTATTCGGGTCATTTGTCTCCCCATTGCTTGTTTCAGGGGTTCCTCAATCTGAAGTGGTCGCGCTTTGCTCGAGTGGTTTTGACTCGCTCCATCGCCATCACGCCCACCCTCCTGGTTGCCATTTTCCAAGATGTGGAACGCCTGACTGGCATGAACGACTTCCTCAACGTTCTTATGAGCCTGCAGGTGAGAGTCCTGAAGAATAGTTGTGGGGGCACATTTACTGGCCGCAGCGAAATTTGCCCTCGGAAAGGCTTGGGAGGGATGACGGGATCCAGGTTCGACGCACTGGTTTTCAAAAGCAGGGATTTGAAATAATAAAACCTAGCAGTCCAATGAAAGGAAACTCAGCACATACTGAGTTGGTTTAGCAGTCTAGGGCCCATTTGTTTTCTACGTGGAAAGTCAGACCTGTGCAATGCAGGTTATTTCGTATGCTAAAGGGGACAAGCCATCACCCTCCAGAGAAATATCATAGACTTGAGGGTGAGTTTTGTAAGGCCAGCTAGGAGGAAATCCAGAGCTGGAAGCCCAAGTTTAGGATACCTTCTTGAGCAATATCTCCCTCCCCCCTTTTTTTCTTCCTTTCCAGCTTCCTTTTGCATTAATTCCAGTCCTCACATTCACCAGTTTGCGCCCTGTGATGAATGACTTCGCCAATGGCCTGTAAGTATGAAGAATTGCATGTGTAGCACATCCTTGAGGGACCTGAGAAGGGTAAAAACTGAGATGCATAATATTGCTTCTGAGCAGACACTTCTCAGTACAGTGGTACCTTGGTTTACGAATTTATCCATTCTGGAAGTCCATTTACAAATGGAACACACTCAACAGGAAGCGGAACATTTTCTGCTTCCAAGGCAAAGTTCACAAACCAAAACACCTGCTTCCGGGTTTGCAGCGTTCTTAATCCAAGCTGTTCATAAACTAAGCTGTTCTTAAACCAAGGTGCCACTGTATCTGGGAACTATTGTCACTTGAGCAAGCCACTTTAAATCTCAGCACCTGTATGTAATTCCGCAGCAAGTTGAGGCTTCACTTTATTACTATGAAGTGACACTCTTCACATGAGCATGGGACTGTGTGCGTGTGCATGCATGCACACAGTATTTCTCTCCCCACCCTGTAAATAAAAAAAGGGCAGGGACCCTCCCTCCAATGTGTGGAGTGTGTTTTATAGTCAGTATGACCAGTGGAACCTGTAGCTTTGCAGCTTTTCTGTGGGATGCCAGGACCACGTGTCCATTTTAGTTTGCTGTACTCCTGGGCAACATCTTTGTCTTTCGCCAGGCTGCTGTGTGCAACCACTGCTGCCACAGGTAACAAAAAAAATCAACTTCCAGCACATCACCATAAATACTTGAAAAGCAATACATGCAGTGACTTGCCAGTTGCCGAACCTTTTACACTTTTACACTATAATAATTGCAGTAAAACTTTACACTTTTTTATATATATACATACACACAAACACACACACACACACACACAAAAACACACACACATACCTCATCACTGCAGATGGTGACAGCAGTCACAAAATTAAAAGATGCCTGCTTCTTGGGAGAAAAGCAATGACAAACCTAGACAGCATCTTCAGAAGCAGAGACATCACCTTGCCAACAAAGGTCCGAATAGTTAAAGCTATGGTTTTCCCAGTAGTGATGTATGGAAGTGAGAGCTGGACCATCAAGAAGGCTGATCGCCGAAGAATTGATGCTTTTGAATTATGGTGCTGGAGGAGACTCTTGAGAGTCCCGTGGACTGCAAGAAGATCAAACCTCTCCATTCTGAAGGAAATCGGCCCTGAGTGCTCACTGGAAGGACAGATCCTGAAGCTGAGGCTCCAATACTCTGGCCACCTCATGAGAAGAGAAGACTCCCTGGAAAAGACCCTGATGTTGGGAAAGATTGAGGGCACAAGGAGAAGGGGACGACAGAGGATGAGACGGTTGGACAGTGTTCTTGAAGCTACCAGCATGAGTTTGACTAAACTGTGGGAGGCAGTGGAAGACAAGGAGTGCCTGGCGTGCTCTGGTCTGTGGGGTCACGAAGAGGCGGACACGACTAAACAACAACAACAACAACAACAGTATATATATATATATACATATATATATATGTGCGCATACACACACACACACACACACCCCTGTCTCTCTCTCTCTCTCTCTCTCTCTCTCACACACACACACACACACATACAGGGTGAGTCCTTTAAAAGAGGTTCCGTGGATACAGAATACACATGTTGCACGGGGCCCCTTTTAAAAGACTCATCCTGTATGTATTTACAATACACAGGAACACACTTGGGTTGCTCTTCCACATCAGTTTCCCCTGTCCCTACACTGCAGAGTCCCATCCTGTAGGCTTCTAGGGTATGAGGTGGTTTCTGTAAATGTGGTCACATGACTTTATTTTTGTGAGCCTTTTTTGGGTGGGGGGTGGGGTTGAGTATTAAGCCTATTCTGTTGCACTTCTCAACCATTCCGCATAGCTGCAAGTCATTCCCAATTCATCTCCTCCCGCTATAATAATCGTTTCTTAATTTGACTTTTAGGGCCTGGAAGATCGCTGGGGGAATTCTCATTCTTATCATCTGCGCCATCAACATGTACTTTGTGGTGTCGTATGTAACTGGCCTGGGACAAACCCTCTATTATGTGATTGCTTCACTTCTCAGCATTGTCTACCTAGCCTTTGTGGCATATTTGGTAAGTTAATAGTGGGTTTGCATCGTTGTTGTTGTTGTTGTTGTTGTTGTTGTTGTTGTTGTTGTTTTAAGTCTTTAAAAAGGAAAACAACAACAGCATCTTACTAGGAAGCATGACTTTCTTCCCCCACCTGGTCCGGAGATGTTTTTTTTGAAATCTATGGCGTTTGCCAGGCAATTCTATTCCAGCACACTGGGAAACTGCCAGATGTCAGAGGGCAAATGGGCAAATTTAGCAGGGGATCAAATACCGTATTTTTTGCTCTATAAGACTCACTTTTTCCCTCCTAAGGGAAAGGGGGAATGTGTGTGCGTCTTATGGAGCGAATGCAGGCTGCGCAGCTATCCCAGAAGCCAGAACAGCAAGAGGGATTGCTGCTTTCACTGCGCAGCGATCCCTCTTGCTGTTCTGGCTTCTGAGATTCAGATTATTTTTTTTCCTTGTTTTCCTCCTCCAAAAACTAGGTGCGTCTTGTGGTCTGGTGCGTCTTATAGAGCGAAAAATACGGTACTTTCCCCCCTCACTGTGTAGGTGTCTTAATGCAGAGTTCTTCCCTCTGCCATCCCAGCACATAGCAGTTTCTGTATCTGCATCATTTCCCACTTAAAAATAACCTTATCTAGGGAAAATGAGATGGATTGCCCAGTAAATTAGAAGTTTGTACCTCAGGCTACCTGATAGCGTTCTCACTGACTTACTTCGAAAACAGCGGGTGTATTTTCAAAAACGGTTGTTCTTCCCAGAACAAAACAACAACCTTGTGTGTGTGTCCCCTCTCAAATGTCTCTCTTTAAAAACCAGCTGCCATCATTGAATCCCAGGATGTGACTATGCAAATGAAGGGGGGGCTATGCAGATAGCACTAAACCCACTTCCTTTTTTTTAAATAAAGTTTTTTATTGATACAAGAAAGAAAGAAAAAACACAAATACCAAATTACACACAAGAATAACCATACACATAATTTTCTTAGCAAACAATAAAACATCTATTGATCTTAACACTAAAGACCCAACCTCCCATCTATTCCATATTTCAAATTCATATTACTTATTGCCAATACACACTTTTATAATAATTAAACTTATTCTTAATAAATCTAATTTCTTATATCTACCTTGCAACTATTACTGAAGTTCCTCAAATGCTGCAACAGAATTTAAACTACTATATTTATTTTTCAGATATTCTTTGAAAACCTCCCATTTTGAAACAAATTCCTGTTTTGATTTATTCTTTATTTTTTCTGATAAACCATCTTAATTCGGCATATTCTGTCAGCTAGCACTAAACCCAGATAGCAGATAGCCCTAAACCCAGTTCTAAATGGCTCCCACAAGGTTTATAGAAAAGATTGACACTGTTTGCAGTTGAGCAAGGAGGGAAGAGATTCGTCTCCTGCCTCAGACACTGGGGTCACGGGTGACAAGGAGCTGGTTTAGCTCCCAACATGGTATTTCAGAATCTACACTTTAACTTTCTCCCTTATATGTGGATGGATCCTGAGGCATTAAAATCGTGTTGCAGGCTAGCCTGACCCTCCTTGATGGTAATCCTGGCGTGGACCAAGTGTGTGTCTGTGCACAGGTTTCGCTGCATCCCTAGAAGATGCACAATTCAAAGTGTTGGTGCTGACCTTTAAAGCCCTAAAGGGCCTCGGCCCAGTATACCTGAAGGAACGTCTCCACCCCCATCGTTCAGCCCGGACACTGAGGTCCAGTCTGAGGGCCTTCTGGTGGTTCCCTCACTGAGAGAAGTGAAGTTGCAGGGAACCAGGCAGAGGGACTTCTCGGTGGTGGCGCCCACCCTGTGGAACGCCCTCCCATCAGATGTCAAGGAAATAAACAACTACAGTGGTACCTCGGGTTAAGTACTTAATTCGTTCCGGCGGTCCGTTCTTAACCTGAAACTGTTCTTAACCTGAAGCACCACTTTAGCTAATGGGGCCTCCTGCTGCCGGAGCCCGATTTCTGTTCTTATCCTGAAGCAAAATTCTTAACCCGAAGCACTATTTCTGGGTTAACGGAGTATGTAACCTGAAGCGTATGTAACCTGAGTTACCACTGTATCTGACTTTTAGAAGACATCTGAAGGCAGCTCTGTTTAGGGAAGTTTTTAATGTTTGATGTTTTGTTATTCTGTTGGGAGCTGCCCAGATTGGCTGGGGAAACCCAGCCAGATGGGTGGGGTATTATTATTACTACTACTACTACCCTTGTAAATACAATGCCTCCTTGCACTTGCACCTTTTCCTACTCAGTTTCCCCCTGAGTCAACAGCCTAAAATACTTGGGCTCAGGGATGGTCTACTTTTCTCTGTGTCCTTTTGCAAATGTTATGGGCTGACTGAGAGCAACCTGTTTTCACTCTTATTTTACATATTTAAAGCAAGGGTGGATGCATAGCCATACCTTTTGAATGTCGTCCTACACAATCTCCTCTCACGTACTAGATAGCAGGGGGAATTTGGCCCCTTTTAAACAACATAAATCTGCCCTTTATGTCATTTTGAAGCTATGTTTTGAAATGCCTTCTCCAGAGTGAAACTCTGAATTTCTCCATAGCATATTGCCTGCACATTTTGCTTCATAACTTTCACTCTAAAGGGGCTAGAGACTTAAAACAAAAAAATATATATGAAAGCTTACAGTCGTTGCTTTCTGAGCCTAGTTCAGCCATAACTCCCTCTTAGTGGCTCTGACCATAGGCACCATTTTAGCAAAAGCATTTCTTCTTGCTTATAAGAGAGGGCATGACCTCGTCTAAGGAGCTGCTGGCCCTGGCGCATATGTGCATCATGTTAAAGGGAATTGTTTGTTGTTGTTCTTCTGAAGTATTCTTCTGACTTGCAGTGATGCACATTTAATTGGATTAAAACTCCTAGAATCGCTCAGCTAAGATTTCTTTAGTCGGGTTAACTAGATCTGCCTCTTGGCATGCAATGGCAGCAACTGTTGTGTGACACATTTTTCTCTTGGCTCCCCTCACAATGTGTTCTTAGGGTGGAATTGCACAGCCCCCTTCACGTTTTGAAACTGTGTAGAGGGCTGCTGTTTTGCTGAGGCATTGGGAAGTTGGGGCAGGGGTGTGACCCTAGGTGGTTTTCAACTAAAGTTTACTTAGAGTAGTGACTAAGTTAGGCCGGACCCTGAGATCATCTTCTGAGGCGCTCCTTCGTGTACCTCCTCCTCGAGAGCTCTGGAGGGTGGCAACATGAGAACGGGGCCTTCTCTGCAGTGGCTCCCTGTCTGTGGAATGCTCTCCCCAGGGAAGTTCGCCTGGCGCCTTCATAATACACCTTTCAGCACCAGGCAAAAACGTTCCTCTTTAACCAGGCCTTTGACTGACCTAATCAACATCCTATACCCTTTAAAATGTGACACTTGGGGGGGGCGTGTCGGATTATTGTTTTTATTTTATTTTATATATTGCGATTTTTGTTTGTGAACCATCCTGAGACCTCTGGGTATAGGTAAAGGTAAAGGGACCCCTAACCATTAGGTGCAGTCCTGGCCGACTCTGGGGTTGCAGCGCTCATCTCACTTTACTGGCCAAGGGAGCCGGCGTACAGCTTCCAGGTCATGTGGCCAGCATGACTAAGCCGCTTCTGGCGAAGCAGAGCAGCGCACGGAAATGCCGTTTACCTTCCCGCCGGAGTGGTACCTATTTATCTACTTGCACTTTGATGTGCTTTCGAACTGCTAGGTTGGCAGGAGCTGGGACAGAGCAACGGGAGCTCACCCTGTCGCGGGGATTCGAACCACCGACCTTCTGATCGGCAAGTCCTAGGCTCTGTGGTTTAACCCACAGTGCCACCCATGTCCCTTTCCGGGTATAGGGTGGTATATAAATTCAATAAATGAAATGACCCACTCTGGGGTATATCCAAGACTGGTCCTACTCAGAGCAGACCATTTCAAATTAATAGATATAATTCAGGTCCATTTATTTCAATGGCCCTACTCTCCCAGTGAAATTAATAGACCTGAGACCTATGATCACACGGGAACAATGCACTGTTTTCTTTGTAGTGGCTAAAATACTTTGTGGTGGGACTGTCTTTTTAAGTAAACCTACAATTGATTTGGGATTCTGCTTCTCTCCTCCAGACTTGGCTGTGCCTAATAGCTCTCGGAGCCTCCTTCCTGGCCTGTGGTCGCACGGTAAGAGTCACGAGAACGTTGCTTATTGAAGAGCCGGCTTCGTCTCCAATTAATTAAATACTGGGTCTGTCTGTACGCAACAGGGAGCCATCAGGGCCAGTGTGTTTCTATGGTTTACTCTGTGAACATATCCAAATGTATGTGCGCTTTTGCACAAAGTTAAGATTGTGGTAATGGTGTTAAAAAACAATAATTGTGGTTGTACATATTGAGAAATACTCGGGTTCTTTTCCTTGCTGTCCCCCAACAATCACACTCTAAAGAACAAACGAACAAAAATTCTCATTGCTTCCGTTGTAGCATTAGATTCTCAGTGTGAGAATGCAAACACTAAAATGTTTTCGACTTTAACCAAGGGACTAATGCCATATTCTAACTGGGATTCGTTCAATTAATGGCAATCGTGTCTTTTAAAAACCCGTGTTTGAAAGGCGTAAAATTAAATGACGTGATTGCACTTGAATAGAATAGACCCTAATGAGTCTTGCTAGTGTCGGCAGCTGGAATGCAAGGTAAAGGCTAACATTATTCAGTGCTAAGGAATGCATCTTTATTCTGGACTGTGCTTCAGGATGCAGGTAAATCCCCATGGGCAGGAAGCAGGGGAGAATCTCCCTGCATGTTGGGAAATAGCATCAGAAACGTTATGCTGAATCTTTCTTCCTGTGAAGCTGGCTTTCTGCAGGCAGGCAGCACCCCCACAGCTGAGCATTCAGGCCCTCTATCTGGAACCCAAAATAGTGCAGTTTGATTAAAGTATTGTCCGTGAATTCTGCTAAATGTAGAAGCTGGCAAGCGAATTAGTCTCCTGTCCAGTTGATTAATGTTGGCTGACCGCTGCTTCTGATAACGATTAAAGGCAGGTGTAAGTTAGTGATGCTGAGGCTGTTTCTGAATTCTTTATGAAAGAGAGCCTTGCAAAGCTGAGAACTTATTTTGGAAGGACTACAAGCCACTTCTGAAAGTACAATACTAGTGAACGTACTAGTGCCTGCCAGATGGCCAGAGTATCATCTTCTGCAGGGCTACTGTCAAAATAAATCACACAAATAGAGTGGCTGCACATTTTGGCTGAGAAGCAGGTAGAAAGGCTGCCTGGCCTGGTCATTTAATTGTTGGTCTTCACTAGAGGCTTGCTTTCCAGCTAAAGAGATGGGCACATGTATCATGTGCTCTGGAACTTTATTTCTCTTAAGCAACTGTCCCAACTTCCCCCAAATGGCTTTCTTGGTACTCTTCAGTGTAAAAGCTAGATCACAGTTAAAGAGAGGAAATCCACAATTTTTGTATAGATTTCTCCCTTTCCTGTCTCCATTGGAGTTCTCCGTTAGAGAACTCTCAATTATTAGCTTTTTCTTAAACAAAAGAACAACTGCTAAAAATTAAAACTGGGCCTGTACATTAAAAAGTGTTAATTAACTTGCTTAGTGTGCAATTCTGGTGGTCAGCAATGGGGAAATAATTTTGCATTCAATGTTTACAAGTTTTTACTGTTTGTTTTGTGACTAATTGTTATTAAGACAGTGAAGTGATGTCCATATTTCCTGTAACTCTTTGTGTCATGAATGTTAGGGTTAAAATGAAGGTTTCGGCATCTGTTGGAGGAAAATACTTAAGTATGAATACTTGAATCCTCTTTCTAGCCAGGAGTCTCCAACTATCACAAACATATATTTTTTTAAAAACAAAACATAGTTAACCTGGTGTAATTATTCCAGTTACTCCTTCCTTCATCTTAAATGGTTTTTCTGTATTTCTTTTTGTTGCTTCATTTCCTTTTAACAGTCTTCAGGGTAGCATTGCAAAATCCTCCCCTTTTGGCATTACAACATTGAGATAGATACTAAGAAAGGGCTAATTATAGTATTAATAACGTTAATAATTGCATCACTGAGCTATGTGTAGGTATAATGATGAATGGTTTTTACCTCATGGAATATGTTTCATATATTCCTCCTGGAATATCGTTCAGAGATGCATGTGTCTGTCATCTGTTAAATAGAATTCAGAGTGACTTGCTAAGGTTGCAGCGTGGTCTGAAAAGCCCCAATACAGAACATAGTAGCACATTGTGAAACGAGCTCCACAGAAATTCAGAGACAATTCCACTACCTCCGTATTCTGTTTCATTTGGGAAATGGTAAACATTTAGATTCCCAAATATATTTCTGTTCTTAAAAGAAAAACCTGAGGGAGTCCTTGAGATTTGCCTCAACAGGACTTGCTTGCAAATATTGTCATTGGTCTCAAATGTTACCCTTATCTTGTGAAACTGATAAGTATACTGGTTTCGCTGGACTAGAATTTGGGCTAAGGTAGCTTTATTGCATCTACTTCATCAGCTGCGTTTCAGGTCCAAAAACAAAACAGCTTTGGATGGGTTCCAATTTTAATACTTTTCTTGCATGTATTGTGAGGCTAACCACCCACTTGGCTTGAAGAGGGCTACCCATAATCACTAGAAGGTAGGAATCAGAACTGGTCATAACTTGACCAATGTCCCCACCCCACAAAGACATTTGACATTCTCACACAATCCTTCATGTGTGTTTCTCTTTTAAAAACACTAACGGTACATCTTGACTTGAAATGCCCTAATTTTTCCAATCGTCACCGGAAGCCAGACTGTCTGAGTGTCTTCAGGATTCATCCTCCAATTTTTCTGTACCATTTTTAACGTGATCATTATCGTTTTGCTCCCTGGGTATTGATAAGATTTAACGGGTTGAATAATAACTTTATATCAGCGTTAACCTATGCCCTGTTTTTGACAAATGTCAAAGGTTGCATTCCAGGGCATAGTTAAACATGCTCAAATCCTTTTAAAACTGGTCAGCCTAACGGATGCTTTGTTCTGTGCTTGAGCATTAATCCAAGGCTATAATAGCCTACTGGCCCACATACGATGGGGGGACGGATGGACTTTCTATTGCTGCTTCAAGGTGCACCTAAATTTCAAATGTAGAGGAAAAATACAATTAAACTATTTTCAGTTAGTGTGGGAGCATCCAGTTCTGCTCAAGATCTAGACAATACATTTTTGTCTCATGTGCACTTGTGGGAAAAAATGAATGGCAGCTGTGAGGATCTTTTGCTTAAGAGAAGGTGACATTGCATGTATTCTGAGACTTTCAAGTTGGCTAGAATCTTTCCTTCTGCCTACAACTGTATGTAGTGCCATAAAGGTGACAAAATGACATTGCATCGTAGGCATGGCATGATGCCAAGAGGGTACCTAGCTTTCCCCCACTCAACACTAACATAGCCTGATACACTCCAATACTTTTGGACTACAACTCCCAGAATCCTCTACCAGCATGGGATGGGGAAAGGCTGCACTCAAGGCCAGTTGGTGTTTGGTATGTGTAGTTTTCCTTAAGAAAAGATGTCCTTGCCTGCAGTAGAGAAGGACCTCTGAAATCCAGGGTTTAAGTTGGCCATACACTTGAGAGGTGTGGTTCCTACTGGGCCGTGCTGCTGTTTTATCTTCATTCACTACAGAGAGGCTCTGATCATTCCTTTTTGCTGCAACAAAGCTGCTAAATTTTGAATTGCTATTTATCTGACCATCTCAAGTCTCCCGGTTTTATTTGTACTAGCTTAACCTATCTGACTGCTCGTTTTTGCTGTATTTCAATAAACTTGGTGAACATTTCCCCAGCTCAGAAGCAGGCATTATTTTAACAGTTTTGTTTTGCAAACTCGGAGAGTGCGTCTGGCATTTTCTATGTGGACTTTGCAGAATTACTTGAAATGCTTTGTACACTCCATGGGCAAATTGCTTTCCAGGTTTTTCAGTAGCAGAATAGTTTACACTATTGGGGAGTTGCATGGTTATAAAATGGCCAGCGGCCTTCAGCAGCTGTAATTTTTTCTTCGGTGCACTTTAACATTGTAAATTCTCAGAAGAAAGATAGACAAGCCTGCCTCTTGGGATGTCAGTTTCTGTCTGACACCGTTTTGAACATGGTACAAGATTCTGAAAATCGTAGCTATGTAGCAGTCTTAAAGCATCCGTGCTACACAGTTTGGGTTGTAAAATCTATGAAACAAATGTCTATTTTTTCTAGTATAAATCAGTCTGTATAAATGATAATTTAAATTAAAAGAATGGAACATTTTCCAACTTGGGTGTCTTTCTTTTCTGCTTAAATTAACCTCACGAAGGTTGTATTATTTGGGTATTATTTGACATATCAAGCACACGATGATTATTATTATTTGTAAAATGCGCCCAGATGTGGAATGTGGGCAGTGTTCTCCCTTCCTGCCCTGTCCCCCAGTTCATTTGAGCATTGAAGGATTCTGCACCCACATCTGCAAAGCACACCCTGCCGTTGAATGGAATACCCTCCTGTCTTGCATAGAGATCCATGCAGACATCAAAACCTTTGTGATGCTTTGCATTGCCATTGTAGGCTGCAATCGGTGATTCTGGCACAAGGCGATGTTCAGTTTGCCGCTTTGGGGAGGTAAAGATTCAAAGTGGCAAGCCATTGAGGAACTGACGGTAGGAACATTCCTGTTGGCTGGCTGCAAGAAATAATGGCAGTGGTCAGGAATAATTAAACCTGAATAGCATAACTATTTCCTAACCAGATCAGGTTTTAAGTTCCATGTAGCTTTCCTGGCTAATAGCTGTTGTTGGCAAATTTGGGAAGGATAGGTCAAATACATTTTTGAAAACCAGCTGATCTGTTATGGAGAAAGTTAAGGGGGTGGGGTCTGTTCTCAAAGGGTTCTGTGACCCCCCCCAAAAAAACACCAAGAACTGCTCTGCAGAGACTTCTGCAGTTCATAAAACATGAGTCATTTGCTCAGGTTTCATACTTATATGAGTCGAAAGCAGCTTATTAACAAAGGAGAGGGGGAATTCTGGGTCAGATTAAGACCCGGTTGAGTCCTCTGCTCACAATTTCTATATTTTAGATCATTTATTTCTGTTGGTGTTTCCTGCATCATCTGTGTATGTCACAATCCACAGTGCAAATTAGCTATTAAAAATATTTCTAGTAGCAGTTTCCTATTAACACAACAAATCAAATGTCAACTGATCCGTGGTCAGTGGAGCAGCCTTCAAATGAGTACTGCTGAGTTGGCAAAATCCTTTCTAGTGCTCTGTGGGCCAACATTACCTGCAGATTAAAGCTTTTGGATAAAACAGATTCAACTCTGACATGCTATAGAAATGTTATCTTTCCCCCTTTTATTACAAGCTCTCCTTACCAGCTTTAAGGGAAGTGGAAGGTGTAAGTAATTTTGCTTCGCTAAGAAACTTGCAGTTTAAATGTCCTACAATGTTTAAAACAAGCAATATGTTTTTATGTAAACTCTTGAGACGCTATACGGTAAGTTTCAGTCTGTTGGAAACCGTTGGTCATCCTGTCCTTTTGATTCATACCTTTATATAAACAGTTTAAACTATTCTCAAAGTCTTAATGGGATTAGCAGACTTTGCATGTAGAGATTTTTACGGTGTGTATTAGCGTGAAATGGCTTTTAAAAGTCAGTGGACTTCAAAATCAAATTGGTGACACTTTATCAATCTTGCGTAGTTTTGGCAAGTTAGATACAAAACATTGTTAGTAAAAACCAGAACAATTGCCTGGATTATTTTTTGTGCCACTTACAGAACTGGCTCCCCCAAACGCGGCCCTCCAGATGTTTTGGGACTACAACTCCCATCATCCCTATCTAACAGGACCAGTGGTCAGGGATGATGGGAACTGTAGCCCCAAAACATCTAGAGGGCCGAGTTTGGGGATGGCTGTTACAGAAGATACCATTGCCCTCCATTAAGTGTTACTTTTTAATTTTTATTTATTTATTACATTTGTATATTGCCCTTCATCCTTCGATCTCAGGGTGGTTCACAACATAAAAATACAATACATTTATTTAAGACATGTAAATAATGCACATGTGTCTTTTTCAGTATCATTAAAGTCAGGAAGCCAAAATGAACCCAAAGGCAATCTTTGGACAATCACATCTCTGCTTACTAAGCTGAGATATGGCCAAGCCTTTTGCCTGTTCACAAAGCCCCTTTGTGTGATCCATGAAATTTCTAATCAGCTAGAGTTTCCCGTTTCATCCAGCCTGAGAAACTGTGATTACTAGCTCTGGAGCAAGCCAGCATTTTCAGCCAGTATTTGAAGTTGCTTTAATTCCCTGACTCCTTATGAAGCTGGCAACGATACTTTCCCAATTTGATTAAAATGGGAAATAATAGTATATTGGACTTGCTGTCTAATAGTGGCTTGCCAGAAGAGGCTGCATGTTCATATGAATGCAAGAGATTCATTCATAACTGAGCTTACTAAGCCGAGATGTGATCAGCTGAACCAGGAAATTCACATATCTCAAGATACAACATAGAGCCACCAAGATCCAAACGTATTTTCTAGAAGAAATGCTGACAAGGTTTCAGTCGTTATTGTTGTGGCTCCAGCAGCAAATCACAATGTCAACTTTCACTGAAACTGCACAACTTCCAGTTAGCAGGAACCGCCTGATGCCACGTGGAATTCCTAGCAATACTGCTTCCATCTAGGCAGTTATATGTGCCACGTATGAACATAGTCGCCTTAGAAGTGCACAACTATTCTGCCACATGTAGGCCCCTTTTGACTCCTTACACTACAGCAACTACCTTCAGAAACATATGGGTTGTATCCAGTGCTGCCATTCTACTCATGCAATGGAACTTACCCCATGCACGCCCAAAATACAGCTCTATATTTTTCCAGCACACAGGTGATGCCATGTAAGAAATTAGTAAGATTGTGGGGGAGAGGGTTGTTTAGCTTTTTGTGGCACTATTGGATCTATAACTGGCTGAAATATTACGTCTCGAGACCCCAGTTCAGTTCCATGATTCTAAAAACCCCATGAAACATGTTCTGTCCTGATCTAGCCAGCCTGCCCCCAAAAGATCTTCCTACTTCTTCACTGGAGAGAGCAGAGACACGTGCCCCAAAGAAAATGCATCCCACAGATCTTCCATTGAAATATTTGAGGAAACACAACTCTTCCCCATACCGCTCGCTGAATTGGTGTAATCATCACCCAGGGAAAGGAAAAGCAAAGAGAACCAAAGTATAAGCACCAACTGTTCACTCCTCCAAATTGTTGTCGTCCTTAAACACATCCTCTCTGAATAAACCGAGAAGAAAGGGTCTCTGAGTGTAACTTAGAGAAGGGAAAAAGGGGACTACCATTCTGGTGCTGAGACGGGGGCACAGAAGGGTCAATGACATTAAAACAACAAAGGGTTTGGCGTTACCTTAAAGAATTGTAGTGTAGTATGAGCTTTCATGAGCCAATCCCTACGCTGTGAGATTAGCAAAGAGGATAAGTATACTCTAAGGACAAAGAGAAGGGGCTGAGTAGTTCCTTTAATACAAAGTGATGCCAGAAGGCCAAGCGATGGAAGAGAGAGCAGTAGGATTGTCACACGCAGATCCCTCACTTGCACAACATACATTCAGATGCTCAAAGATCTGGTTAGTATGGGCATAATGATGCCCAGCGAACAGTCCCTGGTACAGTGGTACCTCGGGTTAAGTACTTAATTTGGTCCAGAGGTCCGTTCTTAACCTGAAACTGTTCTTAACCTGAAGCACCACTTTAGCTAATGGGGCCTCCCGCTTGTGCCGCCGCCAATCACTTTCTGTTCTCATCCTGAAGCAAAATTCTTAACCTGGGATACTATTTCAGGGTTGGCGGAGTCTGTAACCTGAAGCGTCTGCAACCCAAGGTACTACTGTAATGGGATATGCATCAGTGGTATGAAGAAACACAATGGCTGGCTTTCAACATTGCTTTCTCCAGTCACTACATGCCTCTTCTCAAGTGGTGGTACTTTAATGACGTCTTCAGCGTTGAGGCTCGTGAGACGGAGAGCTTTTGAGAAATCCAACCAGATCTTTTATCAGTAACAACATCCTATTACTCTAAATTTGAGCCACTCCATGTAACGTGATTTCATCCATATAAACTGCACCATATCCCATAAAGCAACTGAAAACCACACCTACCTGCAGCTACTATCCAGAGTGCATCCCCCACACAACTGTATACAGCTAAGATTATGGTGGGACACGGTTAGAGCTGTGGTCTAAACCACAGAGCCTAGGGCTTGCCGATCGGAAGGTCGGCGGTTCAAATCCCCGTGACGGGGTGAGCTCCCGTTGCTCGGTCCCAGCTCCTGCCAACCTAGCAGTTTGAAGTGCAAGTAGATAAATAGGTACCACACTGGCGGGAAGGTAAACGGTGTTTCCGTGTGCTGCTCTGGTTTGCCAGAAGTGTCTTAGTCATGCTGGCCACATGACCCAGAAGCCGTCTGTGGACAAACGGTGGCTCCCTCAGCCACTAAAGCGAGATGAGCGCCGCAACTCCAGAGTCATCAGCAACTGGACTTAACGGTCAGGGGTCCCTTTACCTTTACCTAAGATTATGGTATAGTCACATCTGCTCCCAATCTTTTGGGCAAAGACAAACAATTGCCCCAAACAGTTGCATCAGGCATCCTTTTAAAAACTACAATATTTGTTTAGCAAAGTGAGGAAACCACTCTGTAAAGTCGGGTAGTTTCCCAATGAGTCACTTGCTACAGAACACAGCAATAGAAATTCTCTTGTTACCTTCAGCTCTCAGCTATAATCTCTCCAGTATCTCATCAACGCAGATAATTATCGTCCCTACTCATTGGCCTTGGGCTGAAGACTTGCCCCTGCTTAGAAACAACCCCACAACTTATGGAAGCAGCTTACTAGCAATCATAAGCCATGAAACAGAGATACAAACCCTGCAACGAACCCAACAGCCTCCATATGTACTGGAGCAAGTCTGTTTTGCAATCAAACAACATCAGCTCTGTTATCAAGGGTCCATTCTTTTTTTAAAAAAATAATTTTTATTAACCGGCCAATCAAATCAAATTAAATCACATCACATAAATTCCGAATTACAAAGCCAAATTTTAAATTTTGTTGTTGAGGGGACCCATATTTCAGGATCCAAAGGGGGATTCTGATCATCTTGCTACTGTTTTAATGTCCAAATCAGTCCAAATCAGTCCAAACAGAGTTCATAATTCTATCCAGTCTTATCTTGCTGTTTCCACATCACATCTTGTTCATATATTTTCTTTTTTCTTTATGATCTCTTCTGATAGTCTCCTTAAGCCGATAAACACCAATAATAATCCTGTGTGAATTTTTCCGTTCTTCCAATCCTCAGATCGAGATGGTTTCCATATATCATCGCCTTCATAGATAACATCACTCTTTCCATCATTAATTACAGAACTGTCGTTCTTAAGTCCCTCTGAGGAGTTTCACCCACAATATAAAAACAGCTCTATTTCTCTATTTCTCCTCCCAGACTTAAGTCCTCCGACAGAACTTCCCAATATGGCGACGGCATTTTTAACTGTGTCATTCCAAAGCCCTTATACATTCCATGCTCTTCTTAAAACATGCTTTGGTTCGAAAGTTTATCTCCACATAGCCTTAAATCCACAGCTTAAGTCCTTAAAACGACATTTCTGACTTGTGAGGGGAGGGGATTCTTGTTTAATCACATAAGGAAAGAAAGGAAAGTTTTCCCCCCTCCCCCATCAGTCATCAGTCCCTTTACCATACTGAGTCTTGGCGTATCTTCTCATAATCTATACTTGTTGGGTCCATTCATTGACATATCTTCTAAGGTGAACTAATGGCATCACCTGCCATAAATATAGGCCAAACAAGTCAGTTTCTGCTCAAGAGAATAAATGGATGCTAATCAGACTCTGAAACCAATATGGAGGTGTGGGGGTGTCAGTCTTATCCCTCAGAGCATTCTGTAGCAGATCGGAAAGGTCGTCATACTCTGGATATACTCCATTCTGGGCGGCTCCCAACAGAATATTAAAACCACGATAAAACATCAAACATCAAAAACTTCCCTAAACAGGGATGCCTTCAGATATCTTCTGAAAGTCAGATAGTTGTTTATTTCTTTGACATCTGATGGGAGGGCGTTCCACAGGGCGGGCGCCACTACCGAGAAGGCCCTCTGCCTAAATAAATTGTAACAGAGATTGGAACTCTTTAAGTGTGCATTTACACGTTAAATCTTGCCATCCCTGATCTTCACTTGGGGTCACTGATCCAGAGTGCTGTGATCGGGTCTTTTGTTCATTTGACTGGATCTTGAATTAACTTCATGCACTATTCCTTTGCGATCTGCACAGTTGTGTGACATACCCAACTGCTGCCTCTTGCTTTGCTCGACTTTTTGGCTTCACTTAGTAAACCACTTCCCCACTCCCTTCTGTATTCTGTATTCAGGGAATATATATATACCTACCCACTCAGGCGCTCGCACATCTGGTGAGCTGTGACCTACTTGCAACACAATAGATCTGTTAGCTTTTAACAAGCCTTGACAGTGCTAATGGTGGTGGTGGTTCTCTCAATCATGGCTACACTTCTGAAATTTTGGTTTAATTTATTTAAGGAAGGGCTCCTGGGAATGGGTTCGCTGGTGAGCTGGCCTCCTGAAATAATGAAGTGTGGGGAAAGGAGCTGCCATGTGGTAGGGGAACTAGGTGCATGCAGATGTTTTGACTGCTAAATCCCTTCGGCTCCAACTAGCAGGTTCCCCACCCACAAGCCAGCAACTTTCCTAACAAATGGCTGTAGCTCTTTAGAGTGTGGACTCCCACTTGGAAAACCTTGGGAGATCTGATTGTACCTGATTTCAACTACGTTTTCATTTCTCCTAGACAGCAGTCCTAACTGCCACCTCCTTTTCTTCCTTCTCTAGTATCACCTGGGACTCACTGGTCATCCAGAACTCTTCCTCCTCAACAACATTGACGCCGACCAAGCCTCAATTAGATGAATCCCCTCCGAACTAGTAAGGGTGTGACTTTAAAGACAAAGAACATAGAGCCCTCCTATGCTGCCCTAAGCCAAGTTTGATTGGTTCTGATATGTTACTGCAAACATCCAATAATTTGCAACTTCGAGAGAGAGAGAAGCACAAGGGGAAAGGAATTACTGTATGCTATTAAGGATCGTCTGGTACACTGGAAAATAGACTTCTTTAGAAGCTGTGCCTAAGGTCACCTAGAAAAGTTACAAAAGGACTGACAGAGAGCTTGGGTTAAATCACTGTGAAGCTGAGATTGTATGCAATAGTGATGGACAGGCACATATCTTGAAATTTGGGCCGCCACCGAACATCTTCAAAATACTGGGGGTGTGGGTACTAAAATTTGAAAAGCGATTAGCGGGAGGTGGGTGCTGAACTCTTCATTCAACCGCTGGCCTCCCTCTCTACCCAGCTACCTCTCCCCGTACTCCCAGCGTTTTACTCCTAGTTGGATCTCATTTCTGGCCTCAAATTGGGAGAAATGTGCCAGGGGCAAGCTTGTTTATTTGGAGGCAGGGTCTAGCAATAGCAGACGGAGAGTTCCATACCCCTGTCTTGTCTGTCATTTTCACTTTTGAAAGCCCTTTACTTGCTTTAAAGGTATTTGACACTGACCCATACTTGACACACGTAACTACAGTAAAGGTACTGGTGATTTGATTTCTGCTTGATGCAGATCACTCTTTCCTGCCTAAGGGAGAAATGATCACACACCACACCCCTCAATTTATGGAAAACTGACAAGCGTCTTTTCTGAAAGTTGAGATATATCCTTCTTGCCATTTCATCCTCAATACTATCCCGTTATCAAGGAGTCCAAATGAAATCCAGCAGGTTCACTATTCCAGATGGAGAATTTGGGTTTTTGTTTGACACAGAGTGCACCCAGCCTGGCTATCCCCATGGTCCTTCTTGCTATCAGATTAGGAAACTAACATAATTGAATTTTCCTTGTGGCTGAGGAAACTTGTTCTATGCGCAGAGCTGCGATTGCAAGACTAAGTCCATGAGATTCAAGTATAACAGCTTTCTTTTCTTTTTTCGAGAAGCAAAAGAACTCTAGCCTGAAACTCCTGCTTCTTCTGCTGACCCTATTAATATTTTTATATATTTTTTACAGCACCATCATCGTACAGGGTGCCATACAGCGTAACAAGAGACCCTTCCTTTCCTTTTGACTACTGCTCAATTTGGTAGAGTTGTTAAAATGACATGGCTGGCAAAATCTCACATCAGCTGACTCCTTTAACTCACACTGCACATACTTTGTGCTTAATATGTCACGTCTGATTTATTCGGTAAAACTTGAAATAACAGTTTCATAAAGAGTTGCAGCTTGCGTCATTTACTCTGCTGCTGGTAAATGTGTGTTTTCAATTTACAGCAAAGTAAGCGTCCTTTTTTCCTGTATTAGTGTGACATTTTACCCAGTTAATTTAACAACACATTCAGTCACAGCTTACATTGTAATCCAAAGCCAATATAGAAGTGATGCAAATTTAGTTTAGGCCTTGCAGTGCTCTGTCAAGGTTTCAGCCAATCCTCGATATTTGAGTAGAGTTGTTCATTGTATGAACAGAAAATGGTACCTACCTGTTGCTTAAGCTTTATCCCTGAAACTTTCCCCAAGTTTCCAGCCCTCGTGCTCACAGAAACAGACACATATGGCCATGTACATGCAGTATCTGCAGAAAATGCCAGTATTTAATCAAATTTGCAGCTGTTCTAGTTTGCAAAGTTGGCCACATATATTAGAGTTGTCTGAATGTTCTCTGTGATGCGAGACAACTTGGTACTGCCATTGCACTTGAAACAGTACAGACACCATCATACTAATATCTCCTTTGCTCTACAAATTGCATTTCTTCATTGCATAAGGAGAGTCACCCATTCTGTAACTTACTGCGGACAGCCTAAGGCTTGAGTTCCGTGCACAATCAACTTGCTAGTAAGCTGCATTCAACTCAAGCGGGGCTTGATTCTGAGTAAGCATGCATAGAATCAGGTGTTGCTTTGCTTCCTACCTTAAATTGGATGATTTGTGTGCATCAAAAAACATGCCACATTCACACACACAAACTTGGGCACAAGAAGTGTGTCCCGCTGAACTTGGCCAAAATAGATATGTTTGAACCAAACATGGTGAGAAGGCTTCCAGGGCAGCCCCCCTGTTCTAAAAATGTCACATGTATCTTCCACTCAGGATGCACTAAAGATCTGCAGTTGTGTTACAAGACAAGGCCAGTTTCTGCTGAATGGTATATATGCAATCTGTGCTCTGTTACAAAACCCATTCAGGTTTCAAGACAAGCCCTGCTGGGTCAGGTCAAAGGCCCATCTAGTTCATCACCCTATTCTCAGCCAGGTGCCTATGGGAAGCCACAAGTAGGACTTGAGTACAACAGTACTCTCACTACTTGTGCTTCCTAAGCAAGAGGAATTCAGAAGTATATTTGGTATTCTTGTTTTATATTTGGCACTAATTTATATTAAATGTACTGATCATTATTTGTTTCAACAGAGGTCCAGGTTTTCAAATAAATATGTCAACTATACACTGCCTTTCTGGTTTCTAATCTTGTTATCTGATGTCATCAGTCTTTCTTTGTCTTCTGACTTACAACGCAAGGAGACACTGCTGCAGGAATAATTACAGCGGGGGGAAGTAGAAGTAAAATAATTCTGTTGAGGCTGCTTAAGGAATGTTGCTGCTTCGGAAGGAAAAAAAAATGAGCAAGGCCTAATTTATACAAAAATGCTATTGTAAGCAATGTGGAAAAACCACTGAGCCCAAATAGGTGACCATTTTATCACACTTCATGCTACACATTTTGCCACACCTTATCACCTGATGAGCAGTAGAATCCCTCTTATCACTTGGCAAGATGATTCAGATGATCAAACCTCTCCGAGTGAAAGAACTCATTCCAGGGTAATTGGGGTGGTCTGAATGAGCCCAGCTTGCATTTAACTGCACTGAGGTTGTTTGGGTTTGCCATCACATGTGCATTTGACAAGAAGCTATGGATGATCCCAGCTGCCTGAAATGTGTATGTGTGTGATAACGTTTGCCAACAAATATTTGCCTCATTTATGCTTCACGTGTTCATGTGAATATCCTAAAAATGTGTGGCAGGCTTTATTCCGGTGTTGTTGCTTTTGTGGGTGCACTGGCATGGATGTTGGAAGGCCTCTCAACTCAATGGCAAAGCCGCATGCATGGTGTACGTGAAATCGCAAGCTCAGTTCCAGACATTATCAAAAAGAACTCAGGTAGGAGGGAGCCCACTGGCCGGTGCCTTAGAGAGCAGCTGCCAGAGTAGAGGCTGGGAAGGCAAACCAGCGGTCTGACTCTGTATCACGCAGCTTCCTATGCCCAGACATTAGCCACGTTAAGACTCCCCTAGGGGGCTTAGCTGCTGGTGTTTCTAAAAACTGGACACAACTCTGAACCTTGAGAGCAAATGTTCAACTCAAACCAGGAAAAAGCTGCAAAATTGACGCAGATCTGGATGCCCAGTGCAGAGCTTGTCTTCAGCATATAGAAGCTGCTTTAATAAATGGGGAGGGTGGCAGTGGGAATCCTGGCGGCATACTTGGAATACATTCTAAAAACACTTATACATACAAGTTTTTATAAAATAATACTGAATCAAATGCTTTGCTCTTCCGCTTTGCTTTGATGATGATGATCATTTGTTCGGTCCACTGGTGCCCGAACGTTTCATGTAATCTGTATACATGGAATATAAAACTCCTAACAAAAGAAAGCAGATATATTAGTTAGCAATGGCTGCTTTAATATCACCCAGCAACTGCTGTATTGAACAGAAATAAGGTCACGTTTGCTGTCTTAGCACAGGTAAATGGATCTGTTGCCTGGTGATGACTCAAGAACAAAAGCTTAGGGCTTTGAATCAAAAACTACAGGGCTGCCTGTTTACTCACTACAGCCTGCTGGGGAACGTTTCCGGCCCCATGAGCCAGATCTTTACTCACCCCATCAGCCAATGTTGACAGGCGAGTGGGCCGACCCATCTGTCAATCATCTGACACCATGATGGCAATCAGGTGATTAACAGATGGGTGGCTGTGCCCAACTGCGGCGAGGGGGAAGAGTTCTGCTTTCCTAGCACATTCCCTGCAGGAAACACACTAGAAAAGCAGCACCCAGCAGGATTGAACCTCACCTACCAGCTGATTGACAGGTGGGTGTGGTGGGGAACCTCTGACTCTTGGCTTGGTGTGGGGTTTTTGGGGGGGGGAGGAGAGAGAGATGGCCTCAGAAGCTAAACTGGACAGCGTAGAGATTACTTAACAAAACGGCACTGATCACAACAACATGTTCTCTTACCTACTGTTATTGCACCTACAACAAAGCTTTGGGCTGCAACTCTCATGTGGATGAGGTGGACTGACATTTTTTGGCTTCCTCTGTGTTTCAGCTTGTAAAGCCCATAGCCTACTACAGCAAAGCAGCCTGCCAGACCTGGATATTAAAGAGAGGGGTGTAGTTCAGCACTGAGCACCAACATTGCCTTGCTGGATCAGGTTAAGGCTCCATGTAATTCAACATTCTCTTCCTAACAGAGACCAGCCAGATGCCTTTGGGGAGGATACAAGCAGGACATGAAGCCAACAGCCCCGCCCATTGTCTCAACAATTCCTATTCATGCAGGAATCTCTCCCTTAAAGGCATCTAAAGCAGTGGTTGTCACCCTATTGGGTTTTAATACTTTTTTTAAAAAAATGATGATGATGCAATGGACCGACTCAAGGAGCCAAAAGAGGAGGTATACCCTTCCTACTTTGTCAGTTGAAATCACACACGCATAGTCATTTTGCAAGGCCCGTTTGCTTTCCTGGGTTTCTCCCTGATGAACTGGTAGAGTGCTCAACCCACTGCTGGGTTCATGTCCCTGTAAGCTAAGTGAGTTAGTCACTAGTTCTCATCCTACCCAGCTTGAAAGGTTGTGAATATGAAGCCCATGTATGCCACCCTCAGCTCCTTGGACCAAGAATTGGGTGCAGATGTGGTAAACAAACCATGTTGTGTACACATTTTAAAAACAGACCCCCTTCTGAATCAAAATGTTGTTTAAAGCAATGATTGGTAAGTGAGAGCTCATTTTGTTCCAACAGGATGTTTCATTTTCTGGGGTGAAGGCTAGGATTTCGATTCCCAGGTCCATTCACTGTAACCATAACAACTCTCCCTGAATCCAAAATAATAATAAAAAATATTGCTCTGAAGTGACATCCAGATGTGTTAAGCTTTATCTCCTGAACAGTTTGGTTTTGGGAGATTTGTCAGGTGATGTAATTTTTCTTTTTGTTTCTTAGTGTTTGATGCGTAAATTCAATATAATGACATTTCTTTTTTATCTTTTAACTGCAAACCTGGTCTGCGGGAGGCAAGCACTGTCCTTGCAGCCAGCTTAATTGGCAACAGTGCATACAAATTAGCCTGTGTTCGTGGGCATTGCATGTACAAATCACTTTAAATTCTGGAAAGGCACCTGGTCTGATGCAGTTCAGCTGGAGCTGATAAATGGGAAGGAAGACTAATGAAGGTTGATGGGTGAAACTGTGACAGTTTGCAAGGCTTATGCTTCCCTCTCTCAATGTGGGCATATTTTTTAAAGGAAATCCTACTAGCAAAAAAAGAAATGTCATTCACTTGTCTGTTTAAAATACAGACTTTTTAAAAAGGATGGTATTAAGTCTATGGAATGGAATATGGAGCCACAATGTGTTTCCTGCCTGTTTCTTATACCAACTTCTATATTCTTGAAGACCACTCAGTTCTCCAGTTTCCAATCTGAGGTGTGCCACCTTATGGATGGTCACCAAGGCAGCAGAGAGCTATATAAATATGACTCTGAACACACACTGCCTCACACACAAGCCTGGACATTCCTATGGCATTCTACCTGCACCACTCTGTTCTTGAAAATGAACTCTTCTTCTGCTCCAGCAACGCAGACTAATCTGTACATAACATACAGCAAAACTAGAAGAAAACCATTAAGCAAACACAGAGGGGGGTATCCCACATTTACATCAAACTGCAAAAAGCAGCAATATAATAAAAAACTGCAGCAAAACAGAGCAAGAGTTAGCAACTCAACAGATATAGGAAACAGATATAGCAGATGGAATTTAGTCACTGACTGGAGTGACTATCTCCATATCCCTCTTAGCTATATCGTTATTATTGGCACAATAGCATCTGAAGCCATAACCCAGAGACTGACCACCACCACCAATTTATTGAGTTCTCAGAGTTATAAAAGGTAAAGGTAAAGGGACCCTTGACCGTTAAGTCCAGTCGTGGACGACTTTGGGGTTGCGGCGCTCATCTCACTTTACTGGCCGAGGGAGCCGGTGTTTGTCCACAGACAGTTTCCGGGTCATGTGGCCAGCATGACTAAGCCGCTTCTGGCAAACCAGAGCAGCACACGGAAACGCCGTTTATCTTCCTGCCGGAGCGGTTATATCCCACCCTTATTCTAAAGAGCTGCAGATGGCATACATTAGGGTGTATATACCCTTACAACGGGACGCGGATGGCACTGTGGGTTAAACCACAGAGCCTGGGACTTGCCGATCAGAAGGTCGGTGGTTCGAATCCCCATGACGGGGTGAGCTCCCGTTGCTTGGTCCCTGCTCCTGCCAACCTAGCAGTTCGAAAGCACGTCAAAGTGCAAGTAGATAAATAGGTACCTCTCCGGTGCGAAGGTAAACAGCATTTCCGTGCGCTGCTCTGGTTCGCCAGAAGCGGCTTAGTCATGCTGGCCACATGACCTGGAAGCTGTACGCCGGCTCCCTCGGCCAATAAAGCGAGATAAGCGCCACAACCCCAGAGTCGGCCATGACTGGACCTAATGGTCAGGGGTCCCTTTACCTTTACCCTCACAACAAGGCTGCAAGGTAAATTAGGCTGAGTTTGTGTGTGACTGATCATCCAGGGAGACAGACTGCTGAGTGGGGATTCAAACTCTGACAGGTCTCTCCGCAGCAAGTCCAAACACTCTACCCACTGTACCACGAAAGTGCTGAAGGGTTCAACTCACCTATGGGAACAAAGGGGGCATCTCTGGATTTCCTTGCTAGTTTTGATGCTTGGCTGTCATCTTCAGCTGGCGACCAGGACTCATCAGGAGACATTTCTCACGTCTGAATAGAAAAATAAGCGCAGGGAAATAGAACATTTCTTGGGAAAGCATTACTGATTAGAGATGTTCTGGTTATGGCAGCTGAAAGGAAGCACACTGAAGGACTGGCTGTGGTGCATTTTATTTCAAATAAAACTTTTTTTATACTCTATTTCATTCCGTAGGCCAACCAAGCTCCTTCTCTCCATGCTCCCTGACCTGTGCTGGCTCCCTGGTGCTATTTTATTACTGAACGGTTCTTAGACAATGAACCTATATGTGAGCGGTGTGTTTTTGAGTTACCATGCAGGATGAGGCCTTAGGAGGTCACATGAGGTCATATGGCCCATTCATTCATGCTATCTGTTGAGGATTGGTTCTTAATGATTCGGGGACCTGGCTTATATGGTCAAACCCACCAATATTGTAAGAACTAAAGAGGTTCAACAATAAAATGATTTATTCATGCAGAAATTGAGCTTGTACATCCAGTACTGGAATGATAAGGTACAGGATAAAAGTTAGCCACGTGTTCTTTTACTAATAATCTGATAATAAACCCTTTTATTATTTCCCCCCTTTTCCTCTTTTCTTCTGTGCCTCTCTTATATGGGTGAACTAAATAACCTGTCAGTTACTTTTTTATGTGGGTCTTATTGGATGTATGTTTCTGCAGAATAACTCTGCAACCTGTACAACACTGATGGTTAAATATTGGTACCATTTTGTGGAACATTTGGAGTGTTGTAGGGAAAAAATTCTCATCAACAGCAGTATGTTTTAAAGAGAAAGGGGAAAAAAGGGAAAAAAGAAAAGGAAAAGGGAGAAAAAAATTTCTTTCTGCAATATGGGTGTAAATTATTTGTAAATTTTTGTGTATATGTGTGTAATTTAACCTAATAAAGATTATTAAAAAAAAAAAAAAAAGTATATGTTTTTTCCATCAGCAGCCACTTTTCCTATCTCCAAACTGGCTCTTATTTTTCTTAAAAACGAAAGCCAGTTGATCTATAGCACAATGCATAATATTTTAGCAGTGTCATAAACAATGACTGTAGTTTAGCTGTTCTTTTTATTACATGTTTATGCTATGCTTCTCCCAAGTAGCTCAGGGTAGCTCCCCCACCCGCATTATTCTCAAAATCATCTTATGAAGTAGATCAGGCTAAGAGAGAGTTCCTGGACAATGGTCACCCAGTTAGCCTTATCACTCAGCAGGGATTTGAATCTGCTCTTAGTCTCTGAACACAACACTCCTCTGACTTTCTTAATCCACTAGCTAATAGTTTCATATACATGGTATAGTGTTATATGCAACCCTCTCCACAACCATACAAAGGCATAGAATACAATTTTCATTTCAAGTAGATGCCTAATCTCAGTGTAAAGGCTACCCAACATAATTGATCTACAAATAGCAGCTTTGCTAATTAAACAACCCTTACTATGATCCTTGGTTCTCAAGAGTGAAGTCATATAACTTTAGTTCTTTGCTCTTGCTTTTCTGCAAGATTCAAGAGCAACTGAATCTCAGAAACCTTTTCCCGCCTGCTAAAATCCCACAATCTTTTAGCTTCCATAATCTAAACAGAGCACACTGGGTTCCTTAAAAATTTGTTTCATTTTTCCAAATTAAATCCTATTGCCCTTCTCTGAAGTTGTTTGCAGTCTTTTGGTCTCATCCAAAATCTGGAGAGAGTATATATAAAATGTATTTCATACCTACATGAAGATAAAATACTTCAGTAGTGACGCCTTCATATCATTTTAAAAATGAATCCATTGTGCAAATAGGATCCAGTTAAACTGGGTGCTCTATGAGGACCTCCCATATTTTTAACTAATGCCAATAGTTTTACCTGAGATACAGCCATCTATCTTGATTTTTGTTAGAAATACGGAAAATAAGCAATAATTCAAGTTGTTGAGTTACCTTTGCTGCTGATGCATTAACTGTCCATCTACTCTGTGATCTCAAAAAGAAAGAGGATCTTTCTATGGCAGGCTGAGGCTGCTGTCGGTAATGAGAGACAAATACAATTATAGATCGTTTGAAGGCAACATCTGGTAAAACTCTGTTCTAATACGGTTCTTCTCCCAGGTTCTGTAAGCTTTGTTATAATAATTGTTCCTGGAAGCAGGCACAAGGGCAGAAAATATCTACTGTCATTGGTTTAATGAGTAGAAGTTCTCTTTATGCATGAAGTAGGCCATAACATTTCATCAAATCATTTCTGGGTATAATTCTACTATGGGGGAAAACATCAGTAGTTTCTAAGATTCCCAAGAGCCTGCGTTATATTGGAACTGTTTCCAACTGAAGCAACATGGAAGCCTTTAAAGACTACATAGTCTTTTTATTATTCCCCAAGCGAACTGTTCTTTGCTAAATCAATGATATTTGTAATTTAAAAACAACTGTCGAAACACCTGGAATTGGGGTAGTGATGTATTTTATCAACTTTTACTGCATACTACGGAAATTTCCCCTAATTTCACATGCTTAACACTGCCTGTAAAGATTACAATTATAAAATGCCACCTTCTTTCTTACTTTGTTGACTGTACAGCATGCTGTTACTTTTATAGATCCTACAATCTGATCAGCAAACAAGATCCAGTGTATGTGAGCGCTTTACAGTTACTGTCTTCTATATTGTAAGACCAGCATATCTAGTTAATATTCACACAGGACAAGCTTGTGATTATTGAGGAACAGACATTCCGAATCAGTAGATTACTTTGGGTAAACGATTATGCAAACATAACAATATTAATCTCAGAACATCCACTTGCCCCAATCATCACTTTTATTCCTTTTGAGTAAGCATGCATAGGATCTGCCTGTCTCAGCTGAGAAAAAAAGCCTGTGTTTACACTCCATTTCTGCCTGGTGTAGGTGTCCACACAGTACAGTGGTACCTCGGGTTAAGAACTTAATTTGTTCTGGAGGTCCGTTCTTAACCTGAAACTGTTTTTAACCTGAAGCACCACTTTAGCTAATGGGGCCTCCTGCTGCTGCTGCGCAATTTCTGTTCTCATCCTGAAGCAAAGTTCTTAACCTGAGGTACTATTTCTGGGTTAGCAGAGTCTGTAACCTGAAGCGATTGTAACCTGAAGCGTCTGTAACCCGAGGTACCACTGTAATTAGAATGAAGAACAAGTTCCACCAATTCTTTGTTTTATCAATATGTAGAATGTAAATACAGTAGCTCCCATTTTTGACACCAGGTCCTACAAGTAATTACTTCTTTATTTTATTACATCCACGTTTCATGCACAAATGAGTAGTGTATTCTTGACTCCACATCTCAGCATCTCCATATAGCAACTTCTGCCTACCAGAAAACCTGGCGCACTGTGGCATGGGTGGCAAGTACAACCAGAGCATCATCCCCTTGCATAATGATGCAGTATAGAACAGACCTCCTGTCGAAGTCAGTATTTTGGCAGGTGCTGAAATTTCCTGAGTCCAACTGTTAAAAGACACTGAATCCTGCCCACAACTGCACTTGCACCAGCAGGTGAGGGATACAAGAGGGCTCTCTGGCTTTCAGGGATCAGGTGTGTTACATTCATTTTACAGCAGTTTCCGTATGGTTGCTACCCATCTCAACCAAGCAAAAACATTCCTCTTCTCCCAGGTCTTTGGCTAATTAAACTACCTATGGCCTTTGAAACACTCAGGAAGGGTGCTGTGTTTTTGTTGGTTACTATGTTACGTATTTTTGTGTTTTTATATTGTAAACCGCCCTGTGATCTTTGGATGAAGGGCAGTTAGAAATATAATAATAATAATAATAATGGCAGAGTGCATACTTTGCATGCAAAAAGCCCCTCCTTCAGCCCTCATCATCTCCTGACCTATCTGAACCACACACCCCCGTTCAGCATAGAAAATACTGAACTAGGACTCATGGTCTGACTTTATATAAAGCAGATTTCTAAGCCCTATAGGGGCATACTGCCCAATATACTATCTCGTGTTTTTATTTTATTATTTATTATAAAATGGAAGATTGCATAATTGCACTTAAAGAAAACCAGGTCATGTAATCTGGTACAGTAGTTCTAGCCACATAATCTCCATACATTGGAGGCGACGGGGGAGAAAGTCTCTGTGCATGTTCAGAGACGCCCTATTGTCAAATCAATTGCCTCAGAGCCCTGACGGTGTAAACGATCTCTGAGGCTAAATCCTTAAAAGAGCGATTTTTTCCAACTTAAAAGCATCAAGTGAGCTAATGATGGTATTGCAACGGGAATTGTATATTGGGCATATTTGCGTCGTAGCTGGGAAGTCCTAGATAGAAGTTGCCCTCAGCAATGGCGTGTTTCTGTTGCTTGTTTTCTTAAATGTTTTTTAATGATGCTGATATTATTATTTTTTTAGAATTGTTACCACACATCATTATTATATCATTATTTCCTAGCAACCTGGGGAAATAATAAAAAATAATGATAATGATAATAATCTGAGCTCGTCGTCCTTCTTTCGTCCTCCTCCTCCTCCTCCCCTCACATCTTCTCTCCTCAGAAAGCAGAAAACAAATCCCGCCCAATTCTCCGCCTAGGTCTGCGCGTGCGTGTGAGAGAGAGCGCGAGAGTACGACGGCCTGGCACACCCCTCGGTTTCCCATCATCCTCTGCAGCTCAGGCCGACCTGCCGAGCGGAGAAACCAAGTTGCGCTGGGACGGAGCAGAGTGCAGGGCTGCGATGGAGCCGCGGGCGTTACGAACTTGCTCCCTCTCTCCCGCACCCCCCGCTCGTGACGTCACGCCCAAGCCACCAATCGGGAAAGGGGGTTTGCTGCGTGGGTGGCTTCGGGCGGCGGTTAAAGCCGCGAGAGAGGAAAGGCCCGGATGTTCTTGTGTGAGGGCTCAAGCCCCGCCTACCGCCCGTCAAAGGCGGGAAAGGCGTCCGCCTGAGAAGTGTTCCCTCAGGAGGGAGTCGTTGGGGTTTTGCTGCCTCGTAGAGGTGCCTGGGGTGGCGGCTGCGACTTGGCGTGCTAGAAAGAGGTATATAAGTATTTTTGTAAACAAAGAACAACGTCAAAACAACTCGGGGGGGGGATGGGAACCCTGTTAGGCTGCTGGAGGCAAAGTTTTCTGCATTCCTCATTTTTCTGACAGGCAGAAGTTCAGCAGGTGGAGAGGATGTGAGTCCTTGTTGGATTTCTCTCTGACGTGTGTACAGCAGCCAGGGAGGATAATTTAGATCAGGGGAATTGGTTGGAGAGATTTAAACCCTTCCCATAATTCTGCAAATTTGGGCCATGCTGCTGCCACACAGAAGATTTTAAGTAATAATAATAATAATAATTTATTATTTATACCCCACCCATCTGGCTGGGTCCCCCCAGCCACTCTGGGCAGCCTCCAACAAAACACTAAAATACAATAACCTATTAAACATTAAAAGCTTCCCTAAACAGGGCTGCCTTTAGATGTCTTCTAAAAGTTTGGTAGTTATTTTTTCTTTGACATCTGGTGGGAGGGCGTTCCACAGGGAGGGCGCCACTACTGAGAAGGCCCTCTGCCTGGTTCCCTGTAACTTGGCTTCTCGTAGCGAGGGAACCGCCAGAAGGCCCTCGGCGCTGGACCTCGGTGTCCGGGCAGAACGATTAAATTAAATTACATTAAAACATTGAGTGATCTTGTGGTGGCTCCTGTGGTCTGGCTCTTAGGGGTCGCCAGCCTTTTTGGGCCAATGGCCTTTTTGGACCAATTGAGGAGAAACACTCCTCAAACCACACACACTTCAAATTTATTGGCTACAACAGAATATTTTTAATGCCTAATTTCCGATCAAGGGCACCCCCTAGTCACCAGGAAAGCCTTTGTGAGCACATTGGGGGCACACTGACGCTCCCAAATGAAAGGCATGGTCACAGAGCTTATTGCGGCTTACTACCTTGTGCCTGGGGACGCCAGTGGTGCTGTGGGTCAAACCACAGAGCCTAGGACTTGCCGATCAGAAGGTTGGCGGTTCGAATCCCCGCGACGGGGTGAGCTCCCACTGCTCGGTCCCTGCTCCTGCCAACCTAGCAGTTCGAAAGCACGTCAAAGTGCAAGTAGATAAATATGTGGGAAGGTAAATGGCGTTTCTGTGCGCTGCTCTGGTTTGCCAGAAATGGCTTGCTCATGCTGGCCACATGACCTGGAAGCTGTATGCCAGCTCCCTCGGCCAATAAAGCGAGATGAGCGCCACAACCCCAGAGTCATCCGCAACTGGACCTAATGGTCTGGGGTCCCTTTACCTTTACCTTACCTCGTGCCTAGCAGCAACACATCTCCTTTTCAGACACCGCTTTAGAAATGTGAGTCTCTGAATAATATAACAAGCAGCCAGAATAATACCACAAGCAGCTGGTATTTCCAGCTATGCCTGCCTGGTGGTACCACTTGTTCCCCTCTTGAAATGTACAGTGGTGCCCCGCAAGACGAATGCTTCGCAAGACGAAAAACTTGCTAGACGAAAGAGTTTTCCGTTTTTTGAGTCGTTCCGCAAGACGAATTTCCCTATGGGCTTGCTTCGCAAGACGAAACATCTTGCGAGTTTGTTTCCTTTTTCTTAAAGCCGCTAAGCCGTTAATAGCCGCTAATAGCCGCGCTTCGCAAGATGAAAAAACCGCAAGACGAAGAGACTCGCGGAACGGATTAATTTCGTCTTGCGAGGCACCACTGTATCTCCAATATAATCTGTTACAGTAGCTCCTCCTCTTGGTTTACAACTACATTTATTAGCCATTCCAGCAGAAGCTGCCACAGCAGAGAGTAAAAAGGAATATGACTCCCCTTCATTGGGTGCTTCTAAGCAGAGGTTGGATGGCCATCTGTCATGGATGTTTTAGTTGAGATTCCTGCATTGTAAGGGGTTGGACTAGATGACCCTCGGGGTCTTCCAGCTCTACAATTCTATGATTCTATGGTGAATCTACAGAGACCACCAGCAGTCACATCCAATGCTCCTCATCACTGTATTCAATAAATAGTGTGACACAAATTAAAATTATGTTTTAATGTGCTTGTTTTTTATATTTGCTTTGTTTATCTTAGGTTGTGAAGCTGCTCTTAGTGGGCTATGACTACAAGGGAGGGTTGGTTATTGGATGGAGATAATTTTATAACAGTGTGCACTTTCATCCAGCAGATGTCACTATCCTCTCAGAAGTGACATCATTGATCATCAGAAGTATTATTTATACAAATACACTTATCTGTTAGATACTTTATGTAATTCTCTTTGTGGCCTAATTAACTATACAGTACAATAAAAAGATGATAGTTTTTCATCTTCAAGTTGCTGCTGAAAGAAATAGGACGCAGATTTACTAGCACGACTGGCACCACAATCCAGTAAAGTGAGGCAAGTCCTGGACTGTGAAACCATACCCAACCTGATTTCTAATCTGCCCTCCTTGTTGCTCTTCCATTGCCTTGGAGAACAGCAGGGGAACAGATCTCAATTATGATTTACAGAAGTGAGTGACTGGTGTGCTCTTGGTGGGGAAAGAGCTGTTCCCCTGCTCAAGGAGAGAGAGTGCATTTGAGATCTTCTGATCTGGTGCTGGCATTCTCTACTGAGGGAGTACATGAGGGAGTACATGTGGTGTAGTGGTTAAGAGCGGTGGACTCGTAATCTGGTGAACTGGGTTCGCTTCCCTGCTCCTCCACATGCAGCTGCTGGGTGACCTTGGGCTAGTCACACTTCTTTGAAGTCTCTTAGCCCCACTCACCTTACAGAGTGTTTGTTGTGGGGGAGGAAGGGAAAGGAGGTTGTTAGCCGCTTTGAGACTCCTTTGGGTAGTGATAAAGCGGGATATCAAATCCAAACTCTTCTTCTTCTTCACTGAAATCATGCTTAGGATCGTGCAGGAAGTCAACAACAAATCACGACCCACAGTTTGAATGTAATGCTAAGCTCTCTCCTTCCTGGTTTGTTTACTTCCCCCACTGGGGAAGAAGCAAAATGGCCACTCATGCGCATTACAGTTTATTAAACCATGGTCCTTGCCTTACTGTTACGAGCAAACATGACCATAGAGTGACACCATCACCACAGCTATGTGGGAAATCATGTTAACACCAAAGCCTGATTGTCTAGAAGCTCTGTTCATCTGAATTCTCTACTTTAAAAGAAAGAGAGATAAATTGTGTGAGCAGAGGAACTGGGCATTTGTGTGGGTGTCCTTGACCCACATGAAGTTGTGCAATGGGACTGTTCCACACCAGGTCCAGTGGTCAAAATCATTGGAACTGAAAACATAATAGGTTCCAAATGGTGACCCTTTGTGCTCTTATTTCTCTTGGAACATTAAAAATTAATTTGCTAAAGCTGGCAGCGTCTTCATGCTTGAGATCCAGTTTGGGAAGAATGGAAATGTCACAAGGAAAGAAATGGAGGCAAAGCATCCTAAATTACATTGCTCTCTGGCTGTTCACAATTCACTGACAAGCCTATTGTTCCCTGATCTCTGAAATTAAAACAGTTTTTTAAAAGTAGATTAAATGGAGCTGGGAAGGTTTGAGAAAAGGTTGTAAACCTTGCTGTCATACTTAATTACATACTATTTGCTGCTTTATTATGAGAGAGAGAGAACGTGCATAGCATGGTTGGAATAAAATACAAAATGGGCTTAGAAATGTGACGATGAAAAAACACCTATATGTAGATAATAATATTGCAGTGGAGTCCAGAAATCTTCCCTAGCCCTAACAACCTGTGAAGAGAAGCATTAAATGGAAAATTTAAAAATGTTAGAGATAATTTTACCTTTAGAGGTAAGGGCTTACAAATATGAGAAGCAGAGCCTTTTTTGTGATGGTGCTAGAGATAGTCAAGTGGTTTGGTGTCTGAGGGAGAAAATTCATATAGTGCTCCCAGGGTGGTAAGATTACCATAAACTAGGCAATTACCAATTCATTGCTATTCAATGATACTCAAAAAATCTGTCACCTAAAGTGAACCTAAAGTTCAAGGGGGTTGTGGGGAGGCATCCTCTCTGGAATTAATTGTCTAAAGACATTTATACTGAATAACCAGCTTTCTTGTGTTTATTTAGAAAGCAGATAGCATCTTCATTTTGGAAAGCATTTGACTGGCTGGTCTTATTGGTGTTAAGGCTTCCTTGCTATTTTGTTTGTGTGGTTTGATCAGTTTAATGCTTTACTCTTGTTTAAAGTTGTTATGGTTGCTAGATGACTTTAATCCTTTTGTTGATGGGTGTAGTTTATCAATAAAGCAGCATGAGGTCAGGACTACATGGCTGATCTGGTCTCTTGCCACAGAGCTCCAGCCTCACCTCACTGCCCGTATTGAGCTTGCATCAGCCAGGTGAGCAGCAGCACTATCACACACAGTGCTGGCCACTCATATAGATATATTCAAATTATATATATTTCCCCCAAATTTGTATCTATACATGTAAAGTGGCTGGGGAAACCCAGCCAGGTGGGCAGGCATTAGCAAAAGCAAACCAGTACCCCCCTTGTCTTCCTTTTTGATGCAATTTCTCTTTTTGGGCAATGTATAAGTGGCCACATAACCTACACTAGAGCAGTGTAATATGTGGGCTGCACTAAGAGCAAGCCATTGTTGTACAGTGGTGCCGCGCAAGACGAATGCCTCGCAAGACGAAAAACTCGCTAGACGAAAGAGTTTTCCGTTTTTTGAGTCGTTCCGCAAGACGAATTTCCCTATGGGAACCACACACCCCACGTCTTGCGAGTTCTTGCGAGTTTGTTTCCTTTTTCTTAAAGCCGCTAAGCCGTTAATAGCCGCTAATAGCCGCTAAGCCGCTAATAGCCGTGCTTCGCAAGACGAAAAAACCACAAGACGAAGAGACTCGCGGAACGGATTAATTTCATCTTGCGAGGCACCACTTTATATGGTTAGACCAACACACTAGGAGTCCAGTTGTTGCTGTGTACTGGTATAGAACTTGAACACTGAATTCAACATTTGTTATCCCTGTTCTGCATCTTGTCTCTTATTTCTGGGGCAACCCAGCCAGATGGGTGGGGTATAAATAAAAACGTTGTTGTTGTTGTTGTTCTAAGATCCCCAGACCTTGTCTTCAACAACTACCCATGCTATTGATTTTATACCCGCTCAGCATC